CTTTTTGTAAGTTTAGGTTTACTCACAGTCCCTGCTAAATATATATTAGAAATATTTAAATTTGTCAGCCAAAACCCGGGGTTATTTCATAAGGCCAAAGATATATACCCCCGAAACACTAGAGATGGTGATAGATTTGTTTTGGACTTTGCACCAAAAACCTCGGTGTACCAGAAAAGCTCTTATAACATGTGTATTAAGCTATACAATAGAATTCCAAATCAATTCAAGCACGGACCTATAAAATTAATGGCAAAAAAGTTACGGGACTGGTTAATAAGTAAATGTTTTTATAGTACAAATGAATTTTTATTATGAATTAATAATTGTAATTTTGTTGACCTAATGAAGAAATGGCTATTGACTTAAAAAAATTGACATGTATTGTATGATTATTATGTGTAATATAATGTATAGTTATTATGACATTTGGAATGCAACTATTACTCAATTGAAATTTGAATTTTTAGATAATTTATTAGTATTTTGTATGCTTTTTAAAGGGCGAAACATATGGAACTTTTTATATTATTTACCAGCTATAACAAACTATGTTTCATGCAAATAAACTTTCATTTCATTTCATTTCATTTGATAAGGAATCCAACGGTGTAAAAATAAAATATTTTTCGAGATACTTGATTCTACCTTAGTGCAGCCGACATGTTAAGTGAACTTTAAAGACGAATTAATTCAGTATTGTCTATTTTCTTACTTCGGCCGACATTGGAGACGGCAAGTTTTATTATTAGAATAAATGCATTGACAACTTTTTTTACACCTAGTTCAATTGCTCCCTTTGTGTTTTTACTGAAAACGAAAATAGGTTATTATAGGTGCCTCCTCTTCATTATCTTAAGCACATGATAATGATATTACCGAGTAGGTAAAATACAGCCAAATTTAGTTTTATGTTTAAAGAAAATTAGTCCAAACACAAGCGTAGAATGTTGAAAGGACAACCTTTCTATTTATGTATGAAGTAAGCAACCATAAAGGAAGAATATTTTAAAGTTTATTTTTTTAAACTACGCACCTTTTTAAATCACCAATATAGCGGCCTGCAGTTTGATGTATGCTATACTATCTGAGATACTATTGAATACAATACCTTTATTTTTTCCAATTGAGTACCAACACACGACCGAATTCATGAGAAATATCTCGGCGAAACACAACTCATGAAAAATTGCAGCTTGTAGAAATATTGTATTCAAATATTATTGCTTTAAATAATATTTAATGAATTATTCTGATTTATTTAATTCTCAGTTATGATTACGTGTATGGTAAGCACATAAACATTTTTTAGGACACTCGAACGAAAAGTATAGTCTAAAGGAAGGCTGAAGGATCGCTTGAGTGTTGTTTCAATGAGGGCTACCGTTTTCTGCCTCACCAGATGGCGCCACTGTTGAGTGAGGTCCTAAATTGTAACTTTTAAAGTTTATTAATACGCACATGAAATCAAAGGTTACATTTAGATCGTATTTTAACACAAAAGAACCATATCCTAAACATAATAGGCCATGCCACAGTGATGCGCAGTTCCGTTTTATTCGGAAAAAATGGGAACATAATCATTTTTCTAAGCTCAAATTAACTGACATTCATTGCCACATAACTCATATTTGCCATAATTAAGCCGAATTGTTACCAATTATTCACAACATTATTTTAATTAGAAATAAACCCACGTAGTCAACCAAGAAGCAATAACATTTGACATTTCGGAGACCTCACGCTACACTAGCGCCTCTAGCGGCGGGTTCATACGCGATAGCCCTCATTGTGAAAAAGCAAAACTTGACAATTGTAAATAAACAACACATAAATAATGCTAATTATAATACTAAAATTTAAGTTTCTAAGTACTGGAAAAAGTTACAAGTGGCAAAAATACAAAAATGAATAAATATTAATTTGATCTAAAAGAAGTAAATTATTATTAATAAAAACATTATATTATAAATTGATACTTACCACTTTATTTTAACTTTTACTCATAACAACATATTGATGGTATGTATTTATAAACAGAACCAAATGGTGTCGGCATTTTGTAATTAACTGCCTGTAACGTAAATTATCGCCATTATTAAAAAGATAGATTGAGATCAATTCAAACCAAAAAATACAATTAACGAAATTATATAAAATTTGTTATTACAATCATCAGAAGCAAGCAATAAATCAAAGCTTGCCTAAGAAACTTAGCTTTAACTACAATGTTTAGCAGTAGTGCAAGTTTTGAGCACGTAAGAACTGAGGGCCCAGTAACTGATTGGATTTCTACTTCTTCTAAATATTACCATTCATCAAAATTATTTGAATTGGTCCGATACAGTAATATGAAAATTGAGGTGTTTCGTCTGAGAGCCCACACTCGGAGAGTCGTAGCGTTCGACTTACAACAGCTACAAATTTATCCTTAATATAATTTTTTTAAAGGTATCTTTATGTATACGAAACCTTACTATTTAAACTGTAGCCTGGCCTCTCGGAGGGCATGCACATAAGTTAAGCTACACGGAAAAATGTAACTTCTTATGCGCTGCGCGAACGCGCAACACGAAACTACATTTACCGCATTCCTATTCAACTTCTCTTCCATTGCTAACCTAGCGCAACAGACCAGTTGAACTTCGTCATGAAAATTTTGATAATGCTTAAGTGTTGTGTTATCGCAGTCAAGTAACAGAAATTGCAGTCACCAGATCTCCAGAAAGTTAAAAAAATTAGTTAAAAAAAAGCAACCTATAGGCTCAAATCTGGAAAAGTGTGAAATTGAACTTACATGTTTGTGTATATACTAGTGTTTGTCGTCGTGCCAAACAGCGTAACTATAAAGCTTTTTGGTTGATATGCTTTTTGTGCTCGTTTTACTGATATCGAACGCAGTGATCGCCGATGTATGAATATATGCGTTACACAATGCCTTCAGGCCACAATGGTTCGTTTTAATATTTAAGCGTTTAATATTTACAAACTGTTTACATGGGTAACATGCGTGTGTTATGCATAGCAACATGTTGAATGCGTGATTCGGACACCTGCTTGAATCAGCTGCTTTTTTTTAATGAATGATTAACAGAATACTCTTCACGAACTTGCAATCGAAGAAAGATTAGTGAACAGTTAGGAGAAATCATGGTGAAATTCGACAATAGACTATTTATTAGACAAATAAGTACTTATTGGTCCTAGAATATAGAAAGAGAATTCTGTGTTCTGTGGTTTTGGTAATCCTTTGCACCTTAGATTAAAACTTGTTTTAACTTTTGCGTTGCACGCACGGCAAACCCTTAGGCGTAGCTACGACCTACGCTACATTCAGTGTGACTGAATAATTATCCTACTTCCTAAATATATTATAAAAATGAAAGATTGTATGTTTGTGTGTGTGTGTGATTTGGATGAAATTTGGTACACATATAGTTTATGATCTGGATGGTGACATAGGATACTGTTTATCCTGGAAAACTGTTTGTTTACCTAAGGGATTTTCAAAAACTCAAGTTAACGCAAACGAAATCGCGGGCGGACTAGCTTAGAAAAAAAAGCGCATCAACCTAAAAGCTTAATAACAAAAGTTCGTCTTATTTCATACCACACCAAATTGAAGCTGTAGTACCTACTCTTACAGTCATAAAAAATAAATGTATGTATCTTTCACATGTATCTTTAAACCACGGGAAGAAAACACCACAAGCAACAAACCAAACTTCAGATTTTAGGTGTCTACTATCGGAGTTGTTATTAACTGTTTTTTCTAAAGATAAATGGTGGAAGTGTCATAAGTCTAGGTATACTTGAAAACTATTATGCATACGACTCAAAAAAGACCATTTGGTATAGTCAGTTGCAGTTAAGGGCAATATTCTGTTTAAAATCACTAATTACATATAAGTGCTATCCTGGGAGTGTCAGGATAAGTAGTATTTTGCAAATGAACTTTGGTAAATAGATGGATTTTTAACGTACCATTTTCGACAAGTCAACACACAAAAATAATACAAATTAATAACAAATAAAAGATGATTTAACAATCAAACACATCATGATATATTTGTTGTTATTTTAGTATAATATAATTAAGAAGGATAATATTTTTTATATTTTATTTTCAACTATAGTAGATCAGGGGGCCAATCGCCTAACGGAAATGCTTTGGAAAACGCTAACGCTTACGATTTTATTTTGTTATTTCTAGCCGCCTGAGGTATTCAAATGCCTCGCGCTCTTTCTTTTTCTTTTGCATTGGTAATAACAATATTAAAAAAAATGAGCGTGAGGTATTCGAAAACCTCAGGCGGCTAGAAATAACAATATAAAATCGTAAGTGTTAGCGTTTCCCAAAGCATTTCCGTTAGGCGATTGGCCCCCCGGTAGATCGCACTCTATCGCCATAATATTCGTTTTCTACACGCTTACCGTTGATTAGTAAAGAATACCTATAACATTAAGTCCGCCGTTTACTGTAATTTGGTCAGTCGTCATCAGTTTACATTGACTCTGCAGTGATACTCGTATTCCGTTCCTTCCGAAAATTATTGCACTTTGTGAAATTTCCTGGAAATGAATGTCCCTAGCAGACACTTAGATACAGTAAAGTAAATAGTTATCAGATAAGAACCTGTTTTCAAGTACAGGGCCAGCAAACTCATCACAATCAACTTGATTGAAAAGCTGTTGTCCAAGCATGATGTCGAATTGTCGATTGACCTATTTACTTAGCTTAGCGAGAAGGGATTTTCAACAAGCACTTTAATGAGTCACATTGTTGATACGGCCTTTGGTATCCGAATAATATATTTTTCGTTTTGGTTACCTACCTCAGCATATACGAGTATCTCTCGGACATATTTGCATACCAACCCGATAATATTTTTATGGCAATATAAATTTTATTCACCATTGTTTTTTTATCGTTTATTGCGGTCAGTGTAACGAGCGCGAGTGTTTTAAGAGTTTGATATATTTTTGAAATGAAAAAGTTGATGGATTTTGTCCCTTTGTTGTTAGGACTCTTGTTAGATTTGGGAGAATTAAAAGCAACAGACGACATCACTTTGACAACTGCTAAAGTGCTTGATGAAATCTCTCCGAAGCCAACGGCGATGCACAGGAGAATTCAAGTGGAAACCAACTTTGAAGATAGACCGATACAGCCCTTAGATTTGTTCCGTTTAAAGGATAAAGAGTTGAGGCGATGTAAGTTTTTCTAAGTAAGAAAGGTAAATTTTATAAGCAAAAACTTAGTTTATCTGTTTATTTTTAAATAATTTTCTAGTAAACGCTAGTCTAGCTTCTGCTCGCTACTTCGTATAGATTAGATACTACTCGAATCCCCTTGACACCCTCGAATCCCCTTTTCACGCCGAATCAATTAATATGCAGGACGATTCAGATGATTCTGATGATGGCTGCTTCGTAAGTGAAAAATCAAGATCCAGTGATATTGATATGGACATAAGCGATTGATTTATAATTGAGATAAATCTTACTACTCCGTACCTACATACATTTATTTTATTTAAAAGAGATTTTTTTCAATTAATAATCAATTCATTGCATTTTATTTATAGACTTAGGCTTTGATATCATCATTTTATTTCTTTTAAAATAAGACTACCCATGATACTAAGTACTTGCCCCAAATATGATGCAAATCAATTGATCTGAAATTTAAATATTTGAAATTCCAGAAAATCATGTTAATAACTTTAAAATAAAACATTATAACATATTGATCATAATTATGACGTCACATATCCCAGGAACTATTCAATGCAGCGCCCGCCGCCCGCCCCTATCACGGCCCCCGTTGTCGTCTTATCCCACACCCTGTACCCCGCAGACGAGGACTCAGTAATGCGGTCTATCTATAAGCGGGAGACCTAGTCTCTAGTGTGCCGCAAAGGAACATCCATACACTGTTAAACACAATACCCCTGTCTGCGCGTCACGCATTGCGTTGCTTGCCTGCGAATTCGGGTAAAAGACGTGGCAAACAAGCATACCTATAGCCCGCCTGATGGTAAGTGGACGCCGACCAATAGATATACTCTTGCGCAATCCTAACAAATAAACTAACCGCTATACTGACGAGGTGGTAATAACTTTCCAAGACTGGCACTCCATTTCCGAGGGGAAAATCCTCTGTGTCCTGAACAAACTATCTGATATATTTTTATGATTTTGTCTATATATTTCAGCCCGTTCAAATGTTTGGAACTGGGACTACTGGTGTAAATTGCAGCACAAGACGGGTAATTGTTCAAAACCTAGAACTATGACTAGGTATGGAATTAATACTGCATAATATTAATATTTACTAGGTGTTTTTTTCCATTTAATGTAGTGCCTACCTTTCTACAGTACTTCTCACTTAAATGATTAAACACTGCAAACAGTTCTGTTCATTGTTAGAGCTCACAAGGGGATAATAATAGGCGTTAGAGGCGTGAGCAATTTATCTTCCCTTTATAACTCCCGAGTCTTCTCAATTTGCAAAGGTAACCTAAGTAAGAAAATAATCTATCAAACTCCAATCATTTTTCAGTCTAGGTTTCTAGGTTATTACAAGCAGTCATGAAAGTCAAACGGCTAGGTATATTTTTTGGCCCCTAAGATCTTGTTCAGAGATTTGTCGGAAAATCCTCGGGAAGCATATAGTGTGTTATTAGAGATTATACTTACTGGGAAGTTGTTTTTTTTATTCCACGTAATCTGTTAACATAAATATGATTCGTTTGATGTTAAGTGCCTACAGTAGTGAGCAGCGCTCGAGCAGTTCCTTGTGATGGCTACATGAATCGTTATTTTACTGTATTCTTTTTAAAAACAGAACGCAGAGGTTACTCCAGAATGACGGTCTTATTATATTTGCGGTCACATTACCCTTAAAGGAATACCAGAGTAAAAACTTGCGCATTGCTTACTGGCTAACCTGCCATATGACCCCCTGTTCCCATCCTATGGCCAGTGCCGTCTTTGACTTATTGGAGGCCCTGAGTATAATGAGGGATAATGGGGCCCCTATGACCCCCGTTTGGTGATTCAACAGGAACTGAAGGGAACTTGATCTGAGAGGGCCCTGAGCACTTGCCCAAAGTGCCCACTGGGAAAGAGGGGTCTGCCTATGGCAGTTGTCCCCACAGCAACGGAAGCCACTATCTATCGGCTATTTTATCGCTCAAGAAACGTACAATAGATATACATTAAATATATATACAGGGCGTCCCACGGCTACCTCACACGGAGGGAAAGTATATTATATTGAAGATAGGATATTTCACTGAAAGAAGACATCATTTTATTTTTAATAATAACAAGAACTGCATTCACAGTTTTTTTTATAAATCGTCTGCTACAACTGGGAATCAAACTCGGTGAAATTTCGAAAAAATAACAACATATTTTATGATAACCATCGAAAGGGTTAATCATAAGGATTTTTTTTGCTAAATAACATAGCATGTTATAATGAAAGAAAAGTAATTAAATTTAACATTTTATTTAAAATTATTTAACACAAACTTAATATAAAATCAGATACGCCTCAAAAAAGTTAAAATGTTGAGTTCATCATCGTTGACGTTTATCATCCGCTGCTGTGGTTTCTGTAAGCGCATATCGAAACGTCCTAAATTTCTAAAAGTATCCACTAACCTTTTAATTAAACACATATCGAGAAGGTACGTCTCTATCAGGATATCTTTCGCGGTACCACCGCAAAGCTAATATGTCTTTGTGGTACATAAAGTAAGCTTCCATTAAATGCATTTTATTTTGATACACCATGGTAAGTAAATTAACAAAAAAAAAATGAAACACAAAAACCAAAAGACGCTTGAAAATTTGTGATGATTTTAGTAAATTTCAGCCAATCGCATTGTAACTGTGAGTTCAAAAAGAAATGCATACGTACTACAGTTTGTATATCACTTTATTATTTTAATCACATAATAAGACATTCCTTTCAATTAAAATGCTATGTTATTTAGAAAAAAATAATCCTTATGATTAACAATTTCGATGGTAATCATAAAATATGTTGTTATTTTTTCGAAATTTCACAGTTTGATTTCCAGTTGTAGCAGGCGATTTTTAAAAAATCTGTGATTGCAGTTCTTGTTATTATTAAAAATAAAATGATGTCTTCTTTCAGTAAAATATCCTATCTTCAATATTTAATATACTTTCCCTCCGTGGGACGTCCTGAATATATAGTAGTTGATCGCTCACTGTTCACACTGCCACCGAGAACTCTCTTCACTAGTTAGTCACTGAGCGACAAGAGCTATCAAAGATTAGCTCCCCTCTTGAACAGGTTATTCCAATCTATCAATATCATTTTTATACTATCTTGTTTGTTCGCAGATATTATTATGACGCTCATTTGGATCAGTGCTTGACGTTTTTGTATTCTGGCTGCGGTGGTAATAGAAATCAATTCGAAACGATTCAAGATTGTGAACGACTATGTAAAGGTAGGTACGTTACTTTTTAATGAATGTGAACTATTGACATACTAATAAATTCAGGATGATGACGGGGTACTGTAAATGAAATTCTATTTAATCGGTCTGTAAGGTTATCAATAAATAATGGAATCATTTTTTTTGGTCAATCAACCATAAAATTACAATGATAAAACGTGTCGATGTTTGGGATTGGAGGCTCGTGTCGTCACTTTTACTATAAATTGTACGAAGACGTAACGTCACGCGACATTCCACTTCAATAAATCTCTGTTAAGGTTTGATTATGTGAAAAAATAACAAATATGTGTTCAATACTTTAGAATAATCTACCTGATGGACGAAGAAAAAAAATGATTAATAGTAGGTTTATGTGATCTCGATTACTTTGAACTTTTCGTGTTATCCAAGGTGCCACTTACATGCCAGAACAAGATGCAGATGGGAAAAACTTTTGTTCAGTGCAACCCGATTCAGGGCTTTGTATGGCTATGTTTTACAAGTAAGTTTCAGTTCAACTTAGTTTATGAAATAACAGGTAAATATATTTGTAAAGCAAGCACCCATGCTTTAAAACCGCTATATCATATGATCCTCCTGTGTTTTGGATATGTACAAAATTAAGTACAAATATATTTTTATCTTAGGGTGTTGTGTAAGTAAATTAGAAACAAAAACGCTGCCGTCAATAACCAATCAAATCTAAGACCAAAGACAATATACGGTGAACAGCGCTCGAGCCGCGAACCGCGGCGGATGGCGGAGAAGCGGTGCCGCGTGGAAGCGCGGATGCTCCTGCCGAAACCGTGCGGACAGTTCGTCCATTTTTACGCACACTACGAAGTCAAACAATCTCGAAAATAAAGTTTAGAAAACAAAACTTGTGGTGTTTTTCAAGGTCTCTCTACAAGTCTGAAAAAAATTGACAAACCCCGTTGTTGTTGATTTGTTCAGATCATGTTTAGACTTGTAGAGAGCGCGATCTTGTGGCGGTTACGCGGATGTCACTGCGTTGTCGTACTCGTACCTATATGCCTATACAAATTAATATCCGCGCGACCGTATTCCTCTGCGATTCGCGTTCGTTGCACTACAAGCTTATTGTCAAGAAAAAAATATAGTTGGATCCAAGTTTCTCTGAATTGATTCTAATAGGAATCTGAGTCTGGCATTTCACAATTATAGAGAGCAAATCCGACGCGCTATATTGTCACTTTCAGAGCTACAGATAGACGTTTAAGTAATTTGATTAAACTTTGATCAAACCTATTTCAAACAGGTAGGAATTCGAAAATTCTTGGAACAAATTACCTGAACTTCTATAATGGTCATTAAGTAATTCATGATTGATAAAACCATTTAACTAAATATGATGTGAAATACATAGGCTACAATACTATCAGGTAAGTGTGGTTCGGTGTCAATATAATAATTAACAGCAGCATGTATTGCATTGTTCGACATCCAGAATCCATTATTATTGACCGCAGAGGTGTTGCACATTAATTGTTTGCGGTGCAAGCCTCACTGTTAAATAGGGACAATCGCTAGTTTTCCTACATGCAATGACACAGTTTATTGCATCAGCAAAATTATTTGTGGCCGTAGCATCGTAGCCAAACCTTAGCTGCATCAAATAGTTCAATTTAGTGGATACATTTGACAACGCTTTTATAACGTTACTAGCTGACCCAGCGAACTTCGTACCGCCATAAAAAAATTTATTTAAAAAAACATTGTCCAGCGGACAAAATTGTGAATCTAAACCATTCTCAGATCCCCTTGAACACACACAAAAAATTTCATCAAAATCGGTCCAGTCGTTTAAGAGAAGTTCAGTGACATACACACTCACAGAAGAATTATATATATAAAGATATTCATCATCATCATCAGCCTATTGATGTTCCCACTGCAGGGGCACAACCTTTCCCTATGGACGGGATAGGTAGATTGGGGCTGTGATCCACTGATTGGTGGGTGCTAACGACAGCAGATGCAGCCGGGACCAACGCCTTAACGTGCCTTCTGAAGCACGGAGGAGTATGAGATAAAGTCTTTAGTCATCCATCTAATGACCGACCAATGTCAAAGTTGCTTAAATTTCACGATCACATGCGGAACCTGCTAACCACCTGCGCCATGGAGCTATGTTATAATAGGAGTATAATAATAGAAGTGATGAAGTGTTTCTCGTAGCGTTTAATTCGTATAGCAAGCTTATAAAGCTTTGAGTACTGTACTGAGTAAGTACTATGATAATATTTACAAGTTCAGGTTATCTATCCAGTACATTTTTGGGGGAATGCAAAGGCTTTTCTTATGGGTGGGATAAGGAAAACGGAACCATTGCATTGGCGGCGAATGGCACTACGTGCAGCTGACACCAACGGTTTAACGAAACTCAAGATGATGATTTTTTGGCCATCCATCCAATGACCGGCCATTTTGAAAGTTGTTTATTTCCACGATATCAGACAGAAAGCGCTAACCAGTATAAAATCTGTTTCAACATTGCATCTACTAAAATTATAACACTAAACAGTTTGCTTGTTTGGTTGAACTCGCTAATCTCAGGTACTATTGGTCCAATTTAAAAAAATATTATTGTGTTAGATAGCTTACTACAACCTGGGGTCCTTTAAGAGAGACGTGAAGAAGCAAGGTGAGGATGGTTGGTGTGGCAGTTTATAACTGCTGTACTACAGGTTGGGTAGAGTCATTTGCCTACCTGGCTATATAAAATATAGTACATTTGTCGAGGAAGGGTATACGCTATATAACATTATTTGTTTGTTATAGTCGTTTGACTTACTATAACTTTTTTCCTCATATTAATGTGGGTGAAACCGCATGGGACCTCTAGTTATTAATATATGTGTTACATCACCAGGTATTATTTTGACGTAAACGAGAACAGATGCAAAACCTTCATTTACGGGGGTTGTGGCGGCAACCAGAACCGTTTTAACACCATGAGCGAGTGCATGAATGAGTGCCAACAAGATGCCGAAGATTTTGATACTTAATCTATGCCAATAAACAGTGTCTAGTCATTTCGTTTTTTATTCCTTTAGCTTGCTACTTTATGAGTGAGTAGTTACATAGCTTCATCATCGGCAGAGCCGTAGCCAGAGTTATATTTAAGATAGGGCAGTGGTAATTACAAGTAAGGCATTGCCCCCTAGTTTCCCCCTGGGGAGCGAGAAGTAGGTATTTGGAACTCCCTGCTCATTTCAGCCAGCCCTTGGGCCGGATGAAATGAGCAGCGCCCTACCTAATGTCCTGAGCTGGTCCACTAAAAACCACACAATACTCCTGCACCGGTCACCCGACACGCATTGTGAGGACCGAGGTTCCCCCAATGCGTGCCGGGGGTGCGGGCGTGGTCGCGGCAATCGTTTCCCACTGGCCGCGCTCGCCCTCTAGCTGCCTACGGCCCTCGTCATCGGTTTATTAATGTGCTCAATGCTGGCACTCAGGTTTGCCCATTGAAAGAAAGAAGAAAGAAAGAAATAAAAATAAATTTATTTGTGACAACACACACAACAAACAGAACAAAACACACATATTTTTTTTTTGTCTCAAATCGGTCCCAACTCAGCATGTGTTGATGTTGCCATCAACGCTGGTCTTCCGTTGGAACCGGAATTGAATGGAGAGAGTTTGGGCTATGATGAGATGTTGGGTTTGATCAACACCAGTGTTTAGGTAATCACATAATGCCTGTGTCCTACAGTTGTTTTTATAGTTTGTTATAATAATGTACACTGGTACTTATGTTTTGCAACCTAGTATCCAGATGTAGTTATGAGTAGTCATGCTTTCGTAAAAATCTTTTCGGCGGTGTCGTGTGAGGCGAGTCGTTACGTTCCTAAAAAATGGTTGAGCGCAGCGATGGCTGGTTCATGCGTCACTCGTGAACGGGTGCTGCCAGCGGAGATGAGTCTGCTCTTGCTACATTGGGTACTATTCATCGTTGTATTTGACTTTAATCGTACATTTTTGCCTGTGCCTAATCAGTAGGACACGGCATTCCTAAACTTAAACTTTGTCAAATCAGTTTTTTATAGGTATGCCGCGGTAGCATAATTGGTCAGTGCATTCGCCCGGTTCGAGTCCCGCCTGCTGCCTGGTCCGCGTGGAATTTTTTCTAGTTATATTTATTCAGATTTTTATATTTTTCTATTTTATAGTCATATTTTAGTGATATCATTTACATTTGTAATGGAAAGTGTCATCGTGAGCTATCTCATATGGAAGACATTTTTCAATTTGACGACTCTGTATATAATACAGGGAGAAAAAAACAGCCCTTACTGAGTTTCTTGCCGGTTCTTCTCAGTACAAGGTCTCCTGCCGTAGATTTGCGAATCGATGGCGTAGCTTTTCGACATTCACAAGTGCTTGTAACAGCCTAGACTGAACAAACGATATTGAATTTTCAATTTTATGAGCCACCATGCAGGCTCAGCGCGGATTGGTGGGTGATAAGGCCGTAGATGCAGCCGGGACCAACGGCTTATTGTGCCTTTCAAAACTCGGAGGAGGTCGAGATAGTAAATTTTTAATTACTAATAATGTTTGTGATCGGTGAATGTGAAAGTTGACTTACTTCCACGTGCGTTAACTACTTGCGCCAACGAGATTTTGTTCTCATATTTTATATTACACATTACAATTTATGTACTGTACCTTGCCGTGTTGTTACAAGCAGTGCAGGCAATGTATTTTTGTCTACGGGGTGGACGTGCGAAATAGTAAATTATCCTTTATTCAATAATGTTGGTGGTCAAATAATATTGTGTTCTCTTCCTCCTTGCTTCCTTATCATGCTACACAGGTAATGAATACGAAAATACGAATAGTCATGTCAAATACTACGAAATATTATAATGTGCATCTGAATTGAGTGATCCTTGTTTAGTTGTCATTAAAACCAAAACGTATATTTAGTGTAATTTACAATTTTACATTATCAACAGTGGTGCAAGTTTGACGACGACGTTATCGACCGCAAACTGAACGCACTGTCCACTGTGCCTTCGAGTCGTGGTCGTAGATAGGGGTGGGGGAGGGCAATGCCCTAACTTAAAATACCAATGCCCTACGGCCTTTTAAACAGGGCGGCAGGATGAAAAGCGCAGGCACGCCACGCTTGTCCTACCCGTAAATACCGCTGCCCTATCTTAAATACAACTCTGGCTACGGCCCTATATCAAGTTCCTCAAGTAACGTTTACCATTTAAAATTCAAATAAGTAACGATTCAGATGGACCGTGATATTGCAATAGGAAAACAACGCAATCTCACTAAGTAAGTACATAATAAAATTACACTTAATTCTGAGTAACTTTAGAGATGAAATTACGGAACTCCCGTCAGCACTAATCTGGCCTCGGAAAAACTCCCCCAATTAATAGTGGGGCGAATTAATTCCACAAGATTCTTGCCTTGGTTGAGAAGTATTTGCATCCCTTCAATTTAGTTGCCGATGCAATATTCCCCTGCATTCTGAAAATTCAGCCATGAGATAGGTATTTGTGCATCTGGTTCCGTTTTATGAGATTTTTTGTTAGTATGATTAATGTGCAATTTCCGGAAAATAAAATTCGAGTTGCCGTTGGATTAATCCATTGGAAAGGCTTGAATGCTGTCCCAGGAGCAGTAATATTCTGATTGTTGGCGTAAATGTAGCTGTTTATCATAAATCTATACTTTTCTGGAATTTTATTCATCAATATTTATATCAATACTTTGCAATACTTTAAATGTACCTACGTAAGTAATAAAAATGCATTGTTACACTGTTTCCATAAACAGTGTTCCAACTATAGTATAGATTGGTTCTTGAAAGATTTATTTTACCGGCTATGTTCCTATTTAAGCACGTGTTTGTGCAAATTTTACTTGTTCTATGGATACGTCGTTTGTACAGTACAAGCAAAGATATTAACTCGACGGGTCATTTATAAATACAATGTTAGGTACATTGATGATCATTCTGAAAGTATATCTGAAATACCATCGGCTAAGAGACACTTCCATCATTGTACAGTTTACGAGACATCATTAAAATTATGGCCTTAAGTTTGTCGCAAGCTCAGGTCGTTACTACTTAATTAGTAAAATATGTGAAAGTGGCTCTTTTATGTTTTACAAAATAAAATTAAACGTTTATTATGTCAGTTGGTACATCGATCGTACATTCAGGTAAAAACAGTCCAATACTTTTAAAAATAGACTTCATGCTGCATGAATGCTGTATAAAAATATACCCAAACAACTATCAGTATAAAAAAATGTACTTGTGAGATAGAGATATCATTTCAATAAAATACAATACCCAGTTTTGAAATTCCAATTATTATTTTAAATATCGTAAAATTTTCTTGTATTGACAACTAACTATTGGATTATGTATGGTCTGTTATATTATTAAAATAATTTATGTAAAAGATATCACAACAGAACGATAAAAATGCTTTCTAACAACAATAATACAGAATTATTATTCAGCGGCAAGATTTTAGCGACTAGACATAATCTAAGTAGCCGACTACACCCAATCAACTAAATGGGCGGAGGAAGTAAATAAATCAGTAACGTAAATAACAGAATTGTCTTTACTAAAAGGACGAGAATATATTTCACGATCGGCTTTGTTCACGCTAATGAACAGTTCTCTGAGGCATCAATCAAGTGTCCGGCAGAGAGATCGGAAATAATTGAGATCCAATTTTCCTCTTCTATTAATTTCACTTATAATCAAAACGTCTGCCGGGACTGTCGACTTTCGATTGATATTGATGGAGTTCATAGAAGTTTTTTATTCTGTAAAAACCAAACTTCGTCGTCATGACCACGAAAAGCTGTAAATTAAGTATGTAAGTAAACAAACACCCTCTAAGTAGGTTTGCTCGTGCTCATGATTCGTATTTATGAGTTTATGAAATCCATTACAGGTAATTATAAAACAACTTTTTCCCATTTACCTACCCTTATGAGTCACATATTTTTGTACACAAATTACTTCAGGGTTCTTTATCAAATCGACCAGCCCCACATTGGTACATTGTAAAATACAAAAATCGGAATCGACGCTGAAAAAGCTCGGATATTTGTCCCTTATAACCAGACATTATTTTAAAATTTTGACCTGCACCGGGCCTCGCCCTGAAGGCAAACTTGAAAACACACAGAAAGGCCTACTGAGTGCTAGTAAGGTGGGACACGAATGAAAAATGACAAACTTGTCCAATTGAAGCTGGATGGATGGCAACCTAAAAAAAATTGTTGCATGGATATAATAGCGATTGATAAATATTGGGCATGGAAAAAAACTAAATATTTTGGTAACCACACTAACCTGGGTATTTTTAGGAAACAGGTTATTGAAAAAGAGCATTAGAAATAGCGAAAGCGGAGATCCATCTAACGTTCTTTCTGATTAAGGTAGATGTTTTACTAGGTACAGTGTGAGGGTGTGTTCAGATGAACCGCACAGGATCCACACACGCGTTGTTTATTTCTTCTCACCTAAACCGTACCCCGCATACTAATCGAAGAGCGGGTGTGAGGAATATATGCATTGGTTGCAAAAGATTTGAATCTTATGATACATCAATAAATCTCAAGTTTAAGGCGTATACGTGGCCTAGGTTAATTTTAATTTGAGATTTTTTTATGTGTCACTAGAGTCACATTTAATGCAAACTATTTCAGTGTGTTAAACGCGACTGCATGCAAGCACCAGCGTAGTGCTTGTTTAGACGTGATTCATACGTGTTTTAGGGGTGGGCGTTTTTAGAATAACGATGCGCGATAACGATGCCGGGTTTGGATGCGCGCATCCGATGCGACTGGATGCCGTTATTGGATGCCGATGCCATCTAGTTTTTGTCAACGTTACTATAGCAACAGTGCCACAAACTGCCGATGAAGATGTCGCTAGCGGTGAACAAATATGTCACAATGCTATGGATAAATTGTAGTTCCAATTTTTGCCACCGGCACTGAAAAGTTTGTGATACTATGATACTGACATTCATTTGGCATCGATGCGATTCCGGCATCAATGCCAATGCGGTTTATCTGATACCGATGCGCATCGATTTCACAAATATCTAAAACGCCCATCTCTAACATGTTTAAATGTCCATTGATACATGTTCTTACTCGAGAATGGATTGTTCTTACTCAGACTAATGAGTAAGAAACGCGTGTGAATCGCGCGCGTAAACCGCGGGCATGCACGTAATGTGCGCTTGTAGTCTAAACAACGCCTAATTTTACTCGACGCAAAGCACTTTAATTTATCGCCCCAACTGTGGATTTATAGCGCGGCGTCGCAGCGACGATTTTTTAAACGCTCGAATAACTAACTGGACTTTAAAAGTAAAAATAGCGCATTATTTGCGAAGATACGCTGTTGTAAAATGCGACTTCAAAAGCGAGACAGACAAGAAGCGCTAAATAGGAGCATTATTAAGCATTAATAAATGCTGAATATTAATCTTAGTCGGAGCAGCCATCATTATTTGTGTTAACTAAACAATTTCAATAAGTAGATACTGCTGTAGATACTTAACAAAACGCGTAAAGAAGTATGACACACTACTGAAGGTAACTTGTATTTGCAAAACTATTAATTTAAGTTTGTATTTAGTTTCTTCAAAATATCTTAAGCTAACACATTGAAAGACGACAAGAAAACGACCAAGAGCGTACCGGTATTACCTATATTGAAAGATAAAATATTAGAGATTTTTTTCTAGAAAAAAAATATTTCCGCTCGGAGCAGGCAGCAGACGAGACTCGAAACCGCACCCTTCGCTATCCGGGCGAATGCACTGACCATTATGCTACCGCGGCCCTGAGGGCCGTGTCGAATTTCCTCTAGCAATTCTTAGGTTACAAGGCAGCGCCATCTCTTTGCATTGTATGTAAACCTGGTCCACCTGTTTTTTTTAGTAAAATTTTCTTTATATCTATCAGTTGAATGCTTTAAAATATAAAAATAAATATCTTATTTATATTCCCATATTTGTCCATATATTCTTATTTGAAAGTGTATTAAACTTATTGATTTTGTTAAGGAGTTTAGATAATTTTTGGTCTTTTGTTTTCGGGCCAATTGCTTGCTAGTTCAGTTTTAAGAGTGTTCTATCTGCAGAGTGGAGGTTTATGAAACTATCAAAAAAAGAGTTATTTATATACGTAATACTAAACATCATTACCTCAAGTTCATAAATAGTAGAGAACTTTACAAAATCTTCGGAACTACTGCTATATTGTAAGTAAACCTGACGTTGTTGGTGGCTTCGCAAACGTATGGCTGCCAAATTTTTTGGTGTACCTAAGCAATAGTGTGCGATATGATTCAAATCTTCAACGTCTTTAATTTATTATTTGATTGAATTATATCACTAAAACACTAAACGTAGAGCGTAGAGATTTGTCACTCCTGTATCTCATCAGTGTCTGGAGAGGTTGTTCATAGAATATTTATCCTGGTTAGGCGCGGTACATACGGTAGTGGGGCGGAATGATGGTAAACGAGATTCTAGTCCGTCAGTAGATTTGTATAAGAATAATGGACAATTATTTTTCTTCTATCAATCAATCAAACACTTAAAAGGTAAAGAGCGGCAAAGTTTGTAAGTGGAGGTTCGTGACGTCACTTCTGAATAAAAATTTCACAAAGTCATGGGACCTTTCAAATAAATATATCTATGTAATGTTTTGATTATGTGAAAAAAGAAAAAAATACGTGTACCTTTTAATAATCTACCTGATGAACGGAGAAAAGAAAGTTAGTCTTCATCTCTATCGAGTTACTAACACCAATAGATAAAAATATGTGTAAAAATTACAAGTTTTGTTACCCAAGTTACGTTACGTTACGATATCAAGTGTTTGTTATTTTTTAGGGTTTCTTAGTCAACAAGGAACCCATCTAGTTTTACCAATCAAAGCGCTTGTTCTTTCGTCTATCTGCAGTTTGTAGCAGAGATTATATGTACTATAAAGCTGTTAAAAAGTATAAATTCTACTGAAATTAGAAGAAAAACCATCCAAGCTTACGATAATATCTCGAGTTACATATTTTTTCTGAGAAGTCAAAAAAAACAAATTGCACCAGAACTTACTAACTTATAAGTAAACGTTGTTAGCTGTATAAAACTGGTAGTAATTTTTAATATAAATTTAAGAATCATGTTCAATATATAAAAAATACAGATGTGGGAGAGAACTCTTCACCCCTAAAGATGAAACAACTTTTTATAAAAATAGAATATTTGTTTAATTTTTTATTTTTCTTAGATTTATTCCCGTTATATCAGTTATAGTTAAGTATTACTATTGGCTAGTACCATTGATGGTACAAGTGATATAACATTGTTATCATAATCATTTATTCAGTTTAGGCTGTTGCAAGCACTCATGAATGTCTAGAAGCTACGCCATCGGCTCGAAATCTGCGGCGGGAGACCTTGTACTAAGAACAGGGTATTATTATTATTTACAGGGTCGTCAAGTTGAAAAATTATTTCAGAGATGATGCTGATGAGGTCACCTTTCATTACATAACGATTAAACATACATTTATTGTTTACCTGCATTTTGATTGCTGTGTCATACAGTATAAATACAAAAACTGTTTTATATTAAATGTAACTAAACATTAATATCTTCAATATCAAGGAAATTAAGGCAGACTCATCTCACCCGGCCGCACCAGTTCACGAGCATGACACATGAACCAACCATCATTGTTTTGTTTGTTTATTTCAAATGTTTACAAGTGTGTATATCAGTTCAGTTTAGTATTTAAAATAAATAGTTTCCTTATTCTTTACTTTCAGTTTGTTTAGTTGTACAACGAACCGTAGTTTTGCCTAGTACTATTGATGGAATTAGCAATACAACAATATTTAGGTAGCGATACAGCAATATTCATGGATGGTACAATTTATTCTAAGTTAGTGACACTACTTATATTGATGGTACTAAGGATACAAAGTTGTATAACTTGTAACATCAATGGTACTTATTACTGACATAAAGGGGAATTTTTGATACATACGAACGATAGGATAAAAGAAACGGTATAATGCCAACGCACAAGGATGGGTAAAAATGCCGCTACAACATGCATTGCAGTAGCCTCGCATTTTGAAAACGAACGATTGCTTCGCGTTAAAATACCGCCTCACCTCGTCATTTGTACTGAGCCTTAAATACCCAGCGGAATGCAAATGGTTTATAATGGACAATTCAACAGACGTTCAACCAACATTATGTATGACTGGTGCAAGGATTTACGTGTTGGACAGGCAACTAGGAATTTTGAAAGAGCATAACATTTTAGCCCTAACAGAAATTATTAAATTGTTCGGCCAATACAGGCCAAAAAGGCATTTGTTCGCACTTGGTTGGATTTGCAAAAGGACGGATTATCATTTCACCGGAATACACAAGAAAAATGGTTACGAGAAAAACCCCAAGATTATTTCTGTAATAGATTAAAAAAATCTGAAAAAAAAAACGATCACTCAATCTAGGTATTTATAAATTAAATTGTCAGCAACTTAGTTCGCAACAAATTTTATTACGGTACATAAATAATAACAACAAAATATACACAAAGCAATGATATGAAGCTTATCAACCTACCAGACGAATTTACTAAGTATATAATAAAAGAGCGCCATCGGTAAAACGTTATTTCAAAATTATGTCAAATATCACGTAAACACTTGTTCGGGTTTTTGCTCCTTTGTGTTTCGTTAGCTTATCTTCCTTTATATTTAGAGCCAGCTAGGGCCTGCAAAGTGAAGAACTGTTTTAGTGCGCTGAAAATTCTTGCGTAGTACTTGGCTGAACTGACTGACGTGTCGGATTTATACTTTCTGCATCTCATTTTTCTGCCGCCTGAAATGCGTAACATCCCTTTGCAAATGCGAAACGAAAAAAAGGAAAAAAATAAATACCGCACAGCCGCTGGTAAACAAAATGTATACAGTGTAGAACTATGTCACATTTAATTGTTTATGAGAGTAATAAAAAAATATTTTTTGTAGAACAAACTAATGCATAAACTTATGCAGGATTTTCAGATCTGTAAAAAATAATGCATGGGCTTGGATATTTTTTTTTGTTGAATTTTATGGTACAAAACAAGTGTAGGTATTTAATCTTTATTTTTCGTTTAGGAAATATTAACTCAATTATGTCATATCAAAGGCTGAACTATTCATTATTAAATAATCACGATTTGTGCGATTTGTTGATTTTTTTTTGTAATGACTACATTTGGTTCCTGATGACAACATTTCAAGCCAACATTGACAACATTGGTTGTCCAGGCTCTGGCAACACTGCGGGATGCGCTAGTGGGATAATCACCTATTATGACCCACGTGATAGTGAGCTCTAGTTATCTATACATATAATAAAATGGTAGGAAAGTCAAAACTATACATTGAATATTTAAAAAAAAATACTTGGTGTGTGATTTCCAATCGATACCGAAGCCAATAAAAATATTATAGTTTTTAGAATTTTAGTCTGTTTGTCTGTATGTATGTCCGGGATAAACTCAAAAAGTACTGCATGGATTTACTTTAAATTAGGCCCGAATATTATTAAGAAGTCGGGTCAACACATAGGCTACATATTATCACGCCAACACCTACGGGGAACGAGCAGTGAACTTTTGTTTTCTAACTAACTCCACGCGTGCGAAGTCGCGGGCGGCCGCTAGTGGCCTATACGCTTGTGATACTAGAGTATTACGCGTTTAATTACCCTCCTGACTTCATACGCTTATGCGTGGAGCTTGCAAACAGTATTCTTAATAATACTACACAACTTCCATTACCTACCGTTATATATCCCTGTAGAATTTTGTCGAATGAAAAAGGCCATAGAAACGTGACAATGTTCTACCCTACATACAAAGTGTTTCCGTCGGCTGCATCAGGCGTCTAAAGTGCGATATTTACATGTCCTTACCATCTCGTACCGCATCTCCTCGTTGATCCGCTCACACAGGTCGCTGGGTATGTCGCTCTCCGACACGTCCTGAAGAACGTACTTCAGCTGTGATGTCCTTAACAACAAAAGGAGACATTACATAGAAACCTCTTGCCATATTCACTTTTTGAAGATTTGTTAATCTAAAATAAAAAACTTATAAGGAAGAGTTTCAGTGAATAGTCTACAACAAACTAACTTCAATAGACGAACACCACTGTACATTGTGTTGATAATGGGAAGGTCAATGCAACAAATGCTAATAGACTTCACTTTGGATCTTAGTTAATAATAAATAAATAAATATTTCCAACACTCACACCAATTAGCCTAACCCCAAAGTAAGCACTATAAGGCTTGAGTTATGGGATACTAGGGTAACGGATAGAATACTTAAACTTTACATATATAAATATATTTTTATATAGAAATATATATTAAACATCCATGACTAGAGTACAAATGCTAGTGTTCATCACACAAACATCTGTCCCCACCGGGATTCGAACCCGGGACCTCTCGAGTCGGCGTCGCCATAAAACCCGGCGTACAAACCACTCGGCCACGGAGGTCGTCAAAAGTTAATGATTGAACTATTACTGATTAGGGTATTTGAAAAGTTTTAGAAAACGATCTCACGTTATTGACTAATGTCCGTAAAAAGATAGGTCCGTAGATGATATTTAGGCTCCGCCAATCCCGAGCGTTTTTGGGTCACGTGACAATAGATAAGAAAAAACTATTATCTTTTTCGTTAGTTTTAGTAAAATTATGAATATATTTTTTTTGTTTTTTTTTTTACAAAAAAAATATTCATAATTTTACTAAATATGATGAATATCCACTATTCAAAGGAAACAGTGTAAAGATATGCATGTCATTGATTAGATTTCACTGGTGTCGATTCTGTCGTGATTCTATAAACCTAAACTTAAATTTGACAACAGTGTATTTTAATCATTCTTTATACAAAATGAAAAGGAGAGACACGTTAAATTTAGTTTTAGGTTTAGATAATCATGTCAGAATCAACACCACTGTATATTTATGAGCATGTAAGATTGTAGGGGCTGGTGATACATCTGCATTGTTGCCGTAGTTGTATTCGATTGCCTCTTGCTTGCTGTAGTGTTACATCGCGTTATCAAACTAGTACCATTCTTGATATGGTACATTTTAATGACCTCCGTGGCCGAGTGGTTTGTACGCCGAGTTTCAAGGTGTCGCTTGTTCGAGAGATACTGGGTTCGAATCCTGGTGGGGGCAGATGTTTGTGTGATGGATACGAGCATTTGTCCTGTACTGTGTTATAAATATACTTATATATGTATCTGTATATGTATTTTATCAGTTACCTTAGTATCCAATAACGCAAGCTTACTGTGCTTACTTTGGGGCTAGACTGATTGGTGTGATTGTTGGAGATATTTATTTACTAAATATTTCTATAGTAATGTGTTAACAAGGTCTCACTGTAGGTATAAGGGCAAGATTATGTAGGCACTAGTGGTACGGCGCGCAAGGTACAGCGCGTTCCCTTTGTCTCTGCAGTTGTACTCCATGACTTCTTGATTGTTACAGCGTTACACTATTGATAAAGTAATGTATCGACTAGGTCTCACTGTACGGATATATGAACAGCGTGCCGTGTCCTTCTTGTTGCAGTACCTAGTTGTATGCGACGACTTTTTACTTGCTGCAGCGTAACATTGCCTTCGTCGTTTGACTAGCACCACTATTGAGTTATGTCCCTGTAGCATGAGCATAGGGCTGCCATCCGTCCGGGTTTCCCCGGATTTGTCCTAGTTTACAGGGCGTCCGGGGTGCGTCCGGGCGGGGTTTCATTTGTAGTCCGGGTTTATAAATTTTCTGTTTTTGATCGCCAATTGATCCGTCAATAAGTCTTTGAAAATAAATAAATCTATTCTAACACTGTAACCGTAAATGCTGACTTCCTACAAAGATCAGTACCCCTAGCACGAACCATTATCGAATTCGTATCGTTTGCGAGAATGAAATATCATTGTCAAATGTGTACTGATTCTTAGTTCTCGTTACGTCCGTTATGGTGCTGCTGATCAAGTTTTCGTACACAATGACATTTCGGACTCGCAAACTATTTCAATTCGATAATTTTTACACTGGTCGGTCAAACATCCCTCGGATGGAAGTAGAAGGGTGTAAAAACAGACTTGTGTTCGAGATTGATATGTTACTGGATCAAGTCTCGAATTGGTGTCAACAAAATTTGATCGGATTAACCTAGCATAGACACATGTGTGTGTGAAAAAGCTTGGGTGTTCAATAGATATAGTAAGGTCCTCAAGCCCAAATATCGGGTGTCATTATACAAAGTACTGGTCCTCTGGGCTGGAGCACCCCAATACCAGCTCCTTCCACTTGACCGGATGCAATAGCGGGTAGTTTGACTTATCGATGATCCTGAGCTCACTCACGCGTTGCAACCCCTTAACTACGCAGACGGTACAACACGCACAAGGACGCAACTCCTTGTACGTGTGTAAGGAGTTGCGTTCTTGTGCGTGTTGTACCGTCTATACAATGGAGAGTGTTCCGAGGAATTATTCAACCGGATGCCAGTGGCCAAGCTTTTTCACAGCATCACACACCGCAGAGAAGTTTCACGCCCACCATCTGGACGCCTGGCGTTCGAGCACCATGTGTTCCTTTCTTTTGCGTACCAGCAAGATCTGGAACGAACTTTCCTTAGTATTTTTTTCTTATAACTATGATATGGTAATCTTAAAAAGGCAGATGAACCTTTTCGTTCAGAGCCGGCAACGCATGATTGGCCCTTGGTGCTGCAAGTGTCCATGGGCAGCAGTGACCACTTATTATCAGGTGAACAGCTAGCTCTTTTGCCTACATCAACATAAAAAAGATGACCTCCGTGGCCGAGTGGTTTGTACGCCGGGTTTCATGGTGTCACCAACTCTAGAGGTCCCGGGTTCGAATCCCGGTGGGGGCAGATGTTTGTGTGATCAATACAAGCATTTGTACTCCAGTCATGGATGTTTAATATGTATATATAAATATACGTATATATGTACAGTATATGTATTCTATCCGTTACCCTAGCATCCCATAATACAAGCCTTACAGTGCTTACTTTGGGGCTAGGCTAATTGGTGTGAATGTTGGAAATATTTATTATTATTATTTGTGACATTTTTAACTGCTTTTTATTGGCCTGTCCGGGTTTTGGGCTCCAAAATCCGGGGTTATCACGCGTCTTGCCCTGGTTGCCACGTTTTAGAGGTGGCAGCCCTACATGAGCACCATAATTTACATTATACCACCTTTTTTATCGTGTCTTACTATCAAACTTCATAGTAATTTGACAATTAAGCGTGATAAAATCGCGATATATATCATATCGCGGTGCTCATGCTAGAGGGGATGATGTAATAGTTTTTTTTTATATTAAGGTAGGCAAATGACTCTACCCCACCTGATGTTAAGTAGTAATAAAGTCCAAACGCGAAGATAGCTGGTACAGCAGTTATAAACTGCTACACCAATCATCCTCACCCTGCCGGCCTGCAAAAATGCTTCTTCACGCCTCTCTTAAAGGACCCCAGATTATAGGGAGGAGGGAACACTTGCGCGGGTAAAGAATTCCACTTACGAATAGTACGACAAAGAAATGAGTCACCAAATTTCTTTGTTCGTGTAGGAATAGTGGCCACAGTAAGTCGGTGGCAACGTAGGACAGCGCGCGTGGTCCTCTGAAGAAAAGGTGATGGAGGGATAAGGAAGAATAACTTCTCAGAACACTCGCCGCGGTATAGTCGATAAAATGCGCTTAATGATGCCACATCGGGGCGTAATTGTAGAGACTCGAGTTTCTTGGTTACCTCTTCATCGCCAATGATGCGGACAGCGCGCCGCTGCAAGGTGCGAGCAATATTCCACGCAGGACCGCACTTGCGTTTTGTACAACAAGCACAGTTGATCGGGCGTTAAAAACGCCGCACCTTGTTCAGGACTCCGAGTTTGCGTGAAGTTGTTTTGATCACGGTTTCGATGTAGTCCTTTGGATTCAGGTCTGAACGAATTTCCATACCGAGCATGGTATCAAGCTGATCGGAAAGGTCCTGGTCGTCGACGATTCGAGCCGCTCGGCGCTGGATGCGATCTAAAGGGAGAAGCTGGTACTGGGGTGCCCCCGCCCAAAGATGAGAGCAGTACTCCATGTGAGGCCGAACCTGTGCCTTCTAAGGTTGCAGTCGGTGGACCGGTGTGAAGTACATTCTCGATCTATTGAGCACACCAAGCTTCTTAGAGGCCAATTTGGCCTTGCCCTCTAAATGATCCCGAAACTGCACGTCGCTCGATATGTCAACGCCAAGAATTCCAATACTAGCTGAGGCAGTTAGAGGAGTGTTTCATGTCCAAAGTGTCTCGCATGCACTGTACTATCGTCTGCATAGCAATGAATATTCGCAAGTGGAATCAAATCATTGATATGCAGCAGAAAGAGTGTAGGGGATAGAACGGAGCCCTGAGGAACACCGGCATTCACTGACATGAACTGTGGACTACATCCGAAAAATATATAGACCACAATTGATAAATGAGGATCTGGCGAACACAACGGTATAATTATATAAAATAAAACTGAATGACATACCTCGAGGAGCTGTATAAAACTGAATAACATACCTCCAGTGAGCTTTTGCCATGGTTTTTTATTTAAAAATTTAGTAATTTTAACACATTTATTGTTGAAAATAAAAAAAAATTGAAAATTGTTAATGGGCTCGGAACTTCCGGACGGAGATGGACGGATGGAGATGCGTAATTATATCGTTTTGTTCGCCAGCTTCTCAAATATTAATGTATCGAATAGGCCTCACTGTATGTATATGAGCATATAGGCGCTGGTAGCTCGGCGCGCGAGGTGCGGCGCATCCTCCTTGCCTCCGTAGTTGTACTCGATGGCCTCTTGCTTGCTGCATCGCGAAACTACGTCGTCGTCAAATTTGCACCACTTTTGATAGAAGAAATAAAATAATTTTATTTTTTATTAATTAATGAAGGAACAAACAGTCGTAAATAATTACATGTGATCAATTTCATGTTAACAAACTGACCTAACAGTTCCATAACATATGAACTAACTTATATAACAATGAACCTAATGTAGAAGACGAATAACACCATAATTTACAAAATAAATTCTGTACAACTTATGAGCCAAATGGTATAGGTATAGTGCATAGCTGGGCACCGTTAATCAAATATGTAGTTAACTTCGTTAATCGTTAATCCATTACTAAAAAAATTAACTTCGTTAACCGTTAAAACGTTACATTACGGAAGATTTAACACAAGTTAACGTTAATCATTAACCCGTCAACACGTGCTATACATTGAATTTTTTATATCGTTGCGTTAGTGATCTGCTTACTAAAACTGCTATTTTGGGTTCTGGAAGTTAATAGATTAGGTTCAAAAAAAGGCAGTGGTGTCGATTCTGGCATGATTCTCTAAACTTAAAACTAAACTTCACATCAGTCTGTCCTTTTCATTCTGATTAGATAATGACAAGGATACACTATTGTCAAATTTAGGTTTAGCTTCGTATGGAGACTCATGCATTTTTCTTATATGCTGTTTCATATTGTTTAGGCTCGATAATGGGCTTTCTTTTGTTTCTTTTGATTAGCATTTTACGCACTCAAAAAGTATCTGCTCTCCCGATCTAGATACAAACCTAATATAGCCACTTAAATTTGGCCACTAATTTTCATCCGAAGAGGAACTCGACGAATCCCTGATACTTATGGTTTTAATTTACATAGGAAGTACTTACACTCTTTCCTTATAAGTACAGACACTGCCAACGATATTAAATACCCTAGATACACCACGTGCGCTCAAAATGAGTCTCAATCAAGAAGTGCTTGAACATGATTCAAGCACTTCTTGGTTCATAGTCAAGCGCGGGCGTTGAAAAGTCATCATGGCGCTGAGCTCCGTGAAAAAATGCGAAAAGGATACTTGTATGACGTTTTATGACAAGTATCTAATAAATGTTTGTTAATTTAACGTATTTAAAACAAATTTTCTTTTAATATTTACTATAAACTGATTTAATAGAAAATATTTGTGATATTCAAATGCATGGTCGGTAATATAGCCGTCTCTTTTCCTCGCGGTCCGTACCTGCCATGTTGCTAACAGCGCATTCAGGATTGCGCGTAGATTCAAAGAAATAAGGTCTATATTCTTCCGCACATATCAATGAGACGTAACATTTTACGAGCATATTTTTCAGACTGTCATAACTCTTTGACGCATGCGTTTGAATTAAGACTTTGTACATACGGCGCGGTTCCTGCTGTATAATTTTGGTAAATAGTAGGTACTGGATTAACGATTAATGGACTTAGGATAATTTTAACGGAAGTTAACGAGCTCATTAACATTTTTTAAAGTTAATTAAGAAGTTAATCCGTTAAAAGAAATGTTAACTTCATTAATTAACGATTAACGGATTAACGAGTTAATGCCCAGCTATGGTATAATGCAATAAACAAAAGGACAAAGTCAAATGGTATAGTTAAAATACATTTTGATAAGCAGGCTATTACTACAATTACAGAACATGCAAATTAATGGCATTGCAAACTCTGGACAGTTTGTATTATCACACTTATAAATACCTACTAGGTCTTCATACTTGGTCATAGGGCTACTATGGAGTCCGGATCAAAATTCAGAAATTGGGTTTAAAAAGCCCAACGTGATCTTTTTTCATCAAAGGGCCAACCAGCGAGCTGGTTCTACACCGCAGTCTGGCTTCGATCCAATATTACATATAAAGTAAGGTGGGTGGCGAATAGTGATTATGGGAAGAACGCGCAAAGCTTTGGATGCTCCTGATTCCTCATGCAATGCATTGTAATTTTTTATATTGTATCAGTTCTGTTAACGTAAGATAGGTACCTTGCCATCTCCCTTCGGGTTGATGAATACCACATAATGACCGCCGTGGTTGTCGCCCGAATGTACCAACACAGCGTGCAGCGTATAATGCGCGGGAGTGGACGGTATCTCTTGTAAGTACGGATCCAAGTTGATTTCTTCATAGAATTCGAACCTGTTGTAATAAATATTTTTTTATTACCTGATACCAATATTTTTGATGGAGGATTTCTTAGTTTTATTTTTTACGCCATTTTATAAATTTTGTGTCTGCGTTGTTGTGAATTGAAATCTATATAATCTCTTATCTATTAGACAAGTCCGTCCGTCCGTCTGTGGTGCTGTTTCAGCGGCCAAACCGTAAGAGATAGATAAAGAGAATATTTAAGTTATAAGTTAAGAATAGTCTGATAAGACTACAAACCGGATTTGAGTAACGTAGCACTTCCGGTTTTCGAGAAATCTCGAATTTCAAACGAAACCACACAAAATCTCCGAAGTTCTCAATTAATTAAATACATTTTTTTTTATTTTTTTTTAAATCAGGTTTTGGTGAACATTTGGTTCACTGGTTTGCTAGTGTTAATATAATTTATTAAGAAATTAAACATTTTATGTATAGTTTGACTTAGCAGTCGAATGTTTATAGCTGGATTGTAAAATTCAAACGTCATATTATGCATCTAAGTAACAAATTTTGTGATGAAGGTTCATTTACCGCTGTGTGTAATACGTATGCTTTATTATCGAAATAGACGGGCATATGCTTTACGATGAAAATCAGGCATCATTAGAAATAAGTTTGAGACAGATACAATAACTTCTACAAAAAAATGGGTAACTCAAAACACTGATCAGATTCAGCGTAGCTCGTAGGGACGACTTTAGTGCAGATATAGTTTAAATATAAATAAAGCAAGTCATCATTGAAATCAAGAACAACCGGGAGTGGTAAGAAATAATAAATCCTTTTATTAAATAATAATTAACAAGTTTACTGCGCTCCTCATGTTTACAAGAGTGAAATGTTTTAAATAAGAGTTTTAAGAGTTTTTAGTAAGAGCGGTGTTAATTTAGGTACTATGAATGTGTTTTCAAGAATTCTGTTTCTCTAATTTGAAATCTATTAAATAATAATTAACAAGTTTACTGCGCTGCTCATGTTTACAACAGTGAAATGTTTTAAATAAGAGTTTTTAGTAAGAGTGATGTTGATTTAGGTACTATGAATGTGTTTCCAAGAATTGTTTCTGTAATTTGAAATCTAAAGACACAGTACCCTAAGTGGTGATTGGAATAGACTCAAGATGTTACATCTCGACATTTTTCCTTTGAAGATTTTAGTTACATTCAAAGCCATTCTGACATTCTGAAATCATAAATCAACTGGTTTGGAGTTTATTGAAATTCTTAGTAATGCCTTACGACTCAGCGCGATTAGACACAGCGTCTATAACTGGATTGCTTTAATCTTGACGTATTAATTGAAGCGAGAATCCATTCATGGCTTCGGAATAGTAATCCAATCTTATAGAAATTTGATTCTTATCTGTTGATGGCATCTTATTATCACTTTGTATACCATATTCCTATAGTTCTTCTGCTTTGCTACCTCTTTTTGTATAAAATAAGAATATTAATAGAAGAAAAAATACCATTACCATACCAAAGTTAACGAGTGTATTGTATGTTACTGTTGAACTATTAAGAAGTATTGCTAAACCAACAGTGAACAATCCATGCCGCCAGTATTATTGTTCTCTATTATGCTTCGCGCTGAGCGCGAAAAAACTTTACTGTTTTATACCAGAGGCCCAAGCATGACTTTTCGTCAGCTCCGTAAAGTATCGTATTCGTCAAATTTTGTATGGGAAAAGTTAGTTTGTTCTTACATTCGATAGGGGTGCTGCTTAGTTTTCATAGAAACTTTTACGATGCGATAGGTTACGCAGCTGTCAAAAACTCCTGCTTGGGCTTTTGATCTATGAAAGACGTTTTTAGTTATACTCACTGCAGGAGCTACTACTACTACAACTACAACATAACGCTTTGAAAATACAATTTTTAGGAAGGAATACGAACATTAATATAAGAGGGAAGATGCTTTCCCACGCGGGGGAGGCTCAATTCGAGCAAAGAGTTCTTTGTGACTTCCTATCTCTGACAAAAGAAATTATCACTTATACCAATTTAGGTAATTAGTGGGTTTTAGATCATACGGAGCGGGCGTCCGCTCGGCGTGCAGTTTCTATGTCATTTCATAGAACAGCGCGGCGCGGTAGACTCGCCTCACGCAGCGCTGTTCTATGAAATAACAAATTTGGTCATGGATAGCCAGTTTATTTAGTAAATTACTATAATTTTAGTGACCATAACAGTTAAAAAAAATATCACTAATCCATCGTTAAACTTGACGGAGGCATCGCTCTGCGGGTCGTACTAGAAACCGCATGAGGAGGCAGATGCAATTCGTTGAATCGCACCCCCTTCTCAGCCTCTTGCAGACCATGCTCCCCGGATCTATACTGATTAGTCCTTGAACGATTCGTAGACTGAAAAACGGGATGCTATTGTAGCTATGTTATGGTTTGCCTGTCGTTAAACTTGACGGAGGCGTCACTCTGTGGGTCGTACTGGAACCGCATGAGGTGCAGATGCAGCACCGGCGGGAACTCGTCAAATCGCACTCTTTTCTCAGCTTTCTGCAGGCCGCGCTCCCCGGCCTCTGTATTAATGTAGTTCTTGAACGATTCGTAGACTGAAAGATGGAATGCTATTATAGCTATGTTGTTACTTGCCTGTCGTTAAACTTGAAGGCATCGCTCTCCGGGATGTACTGGAAACGTATGAGGTGCAGATGCAGCACCGGCGGGATCTCGTTGAAACGCACCCTTTTCTCAGCCTTCTGCAGGCCGTGCTCCCCGGCCTCTAAACTAATGTAGTCCTTGAACGATTCATAGACTGAAAGAAGGAAAGCTATTGTAGCTATGTTGTTATTTGCCTGTCGTTAAACTTGACGGATGCGTCACTCTGTGGGTCGTACTGGAACCGCATGAGATGCAGATGCAGCACCGGCGGGAACTCGTCAAACCGCACCCCCTTCTCAGCCTCCTGCAGACCGTGTTCACCAGCGTCGTACTTGTTCTCGCCGTCCAGAAGCTCTATACTTATGTAGTCTTTGAACGATTCGTAAACTGAAAAAAGAGTTGCTATTGTAGTTTTGCCACAAAGGAGTGGTGGTCCTCAAGCATGAGGACAACAAAGATGTAAATTGAGACTATAGCAAACAGAACCTAAATTATTCTTTTCAGTGCTTGTTTTGGCTGGTATTGGTTGATGTTAAGCCTACATTTGTTAAATTGACTTATATTTTTGGATGAATGCGGGTGGCCGCATTTGATAAAGACAGGAATGCTCGTGGGAGTCGATAATAGATAAGATAGAAGCAAAGGACTGTCCAGAAAATAAGCAAAAAAGAAGGAGAATCGAATCGAATCGTGCGAATGTAGAAAATAAATGAAATAAGCAGTAGAGTAAGCCAAATCAAACAAAAATTGTAGTTTATTAAGTTTAAGCAGGCATACGAGCTGACAGTCCACCTGATGGAATGGTCACAGCCGCCCATGGCTACTACTCCTACTGCTGCTTTGCCGGCTCTGAAGGAAATGGTTTATCCGCCTTTTGAAGACCGTCATATTATAGCTGAAAGAAAAAACTGCAGAGGGAAATTCGTTACCGCTATTACTGGTACGCAAGTAAAAGGAACGCGTGTATCGCATGGTGCTAGATCGCCAAGCGCTCAGATGGTGGGACAGAAACTTCTCACTACGGCGTGTGATGCAGTGAAAGAACTTGGAAGTATCAGATTAAGCTTAGAACATGCGCGGTCACATCCGAGCCCCGGATAGGTGCATTTATACTTGGATGAGCAATTTATTATGGGTGGTATAATCATACTTTTTATTTTATTTTATTTAGGATAACAAACAACTGTGCAATACTGTACGTAATGTAGTAACACTAATAAATACATTGATGTCATTACACAACCAACACCGTTATCCACTAAAAATATATCACAACAGAGATTATATTTTTATAAAACATGATAAGTTTGCAATATCTATTCTACTTGCAAATCGATGGTATAACTAAAGCAAAAAAAAAAGTTGCAAAACACAATTTTTAAATGTTTGGTAAACAATCAGTAATGGCCTTTTTATATTGAATAAAAGACATTGTAAACAAGTCCAAATCGAAATCAGATAGGTTGTAATTAAACTGATACAACCGATTATGCACAATATCTATTTCAGGTAACGTAGTCACAGAAAATAGTGTAGTAACTATTTTATTTGAAGTAACACGGATATTGGATCAGTCACTAACTAGATGAAATAACAAAGTGGTTAAACAAAAACTTTGTTAATAAATGACGAAACATACGACAAAGAATATGTTTAGTATGTAGGTACAAACTAGGAACATTCCTGTCTCGCTAATTACTTCACCTCCAGTAAAACCATCGATACGGAACTAATAAAAGTTAGTGTGTGAACTTTTTCGCGGCCTATGGCAACTATTGGTTGAGTTAACGTGATTAATTGACTTAACGTTACGACTTGTTCCCAACTTTGTTACGACCACAGTAGGTATTTTGACGTGACAACGTCTTAAATTAGGTTGCGGCTGGGAGTCACTTATGAAAAAGTGTAACGCTCGGTAACGTTACGATGAGTCTCTCGTGTTAAGTTTAAGTTTACATGTACAATGTTTTAGTAAACAAAATATATTTCTATAGTTAAAATTTGTGCAATTCTTATTTTCATTCAATTCCTTGTTCCTATTGTGCAATTTAATTATATTCATATCAATAAATATTCTACCGAGAAAAAGACGTTGTCACGTAAAATCTTCGCCCGTAAAACCGACTTTACAGGCAACCATTTTTTTTTATTTCTTTTTATTCTAGATATATGACAGAGGTATAAAAACGTTACAGACGAAACATAAAATAATTTTACAACACGTTTCCTCAAAAAATGCATTTACGAAGGTTGTATACATTGTTAGAAAATTCAAAATTACGGGCCATACAGCGAAGCATCCGATAAAATTCATTACGCACGCTCCCATATCTTGCACCGTGCGTATTCTTTATGGTTTTTTTTATTTCGATCGAACCTCCTCGGAAGTTTTTTTAGTCTATATCTATGTCTCACTTTAATACTTAAAGAAAAAGAGACGAAAGATGTAGTTCTAATTTTCGCCACTGGCATGTGGCACCATTTGGAAATGCGCGTCATTTTCTTATTAGAAAAAAATACTTAAATTATCTATGAGTATCGTGCGGATTGGTATTACAAACTCGTGATTGTGGTAAGCCCTCGACTTTCTACTCGTTTGTAATATTCAACTTAACGCACTAATATCATAAATAACTATTACGGTGTTTGTAGTCATTGTTCGAAAGTTCAAAATTACGCGCTATACAACGCTCCCAACATGGAGCCGAGCGTATTTTTTACGTTTTTTTTTAAATTTCGATTGAACCTCCTTGGTAGTTCTTTTGATATATACCTTTGCCTCACTTTATTCCTAAAAACAGACGGAAGATGTTGTTCTAATCTTTACCACCCGCACGTGGCGTCATTTGGAAAAAGGCGTGACATTCTTGTTAGAAAAAGTTTGCTTGCTGCATTACTTAAATGAGGTAAAGTTATGGTTTTCTCGCAAATGTGTTCATAAAAGTTGTGTGACATTTATGTGGAATTGGTATTACACACTCGTTTGTAATAATAACCAAATTACCGCACTAATATCATAATTAACTATTACAGTTTTTTTAAGTAGTATGGTAGTAAATATCAACGCTGAAAAAGTAATGCGAAAGTGCTTATATTTTTCAAATTTATAAGATTAGGTATACATTTTTAATCCACTTCATTATACCGAGGTGGTAATCTAGTGTGGTGTGGAGGTGGTAATCTAGGAGGAGCTCGATGATGCAGGTGGCTAGCGTGTTCGACTGCGATTGTTGAAGTTAAGCAACTTTCGCAGTGGTCGGTCATTGGATGGGTGACCAAAAATTTCGAATTCCTCCGTGCTTCGGAAGGCACGTTAATCCGTTGGTCCCGGCTGCATTTGCAGTCTTTAGTACCCACCAATCCGCACTGGGCTCGCGTGGTGCGTCATGGCCCAATCTCCCTATTCCATCCATAGGGAAGGCCTGTGCCCCGGCAGTGGGGACATTAATAGGCTGATGATGATGATGAATCTAGTGTGATAGCGAACCTTTCCAATATAGGCCCACATACGCCAAGTAAAGCTTTGCAATAATGAAATTTCGTAATAGTAACTCTATTTGACTTGAAACCATTTTATTGACAAAGATGGAGTGATTGAGTATTAATCCTGCTTAATGGTCACATCACCTCGGGACACGAGTTTTTCCGAGGTGAGCCGATTACTTTTCGATTCGTGTGTGATGCAGTAGGGAGTTTCATACAAAGAAAACTGAACAGCTCGAGTTGATACAGTGACAATCTCTTTCTGAGTTGATAGTGATATGAATGCTACGACCTTTAATGCGATAAGAATATTGTGCTTATGGAACTGAGCCTTAACTGAAATGAGCCTGAAATGAGCTTATGAGAAAATTACATACACCGTTAATCAGATATTGAAAGCTACTGTATACAAAGCTGTGCCTAATAGAGTTCCAAACAATTTATTAGAAGATTGTAACGAAAATCTTACTGTTGTTCATTCCTTTGACGGTGAGCTGCACATCGTAGAAGGTTTCCAACCGCGTGCTGGTACAATTAACATTCTTGCACTTGATGAATGAAGTCATTTTACCCTCAAACAGCTTGGGCACGGTGCCTTCCACCACAGTGCCCTTCATTTTATTCTCAAGCTTGTCTAGGAGCACCTAAGTAAATAAAATATGATGGTTATTATGACATTTAGAATTGTTCTTAAAATTGATTACTTTCCAACCATACTATTATTATATCAGTCTGTTAACTCTTAACACTTAAACCACTGAACTAATTTAGATAATATTAGGTATAGAGATAGTTTGAGTCCCATAAAATGACATGTGGTAGTTTTTATCCAAGAAATCACCCTAAAAGAAGGTGAAAATTTGGGTATTGTATGGAAAACCAATTCGTCAAAGCATTTGCTTTGTTTTTATACATGTTTCCGCATAATTGAGGTAAGTGACTGTTTTCTGCACGTGTGCGAAATAGTACATTGTTCACCGAGAGGAGAAAGTGACCTATTACCAACGAGGGTGTTCTAAAATGTATGTAATATTAGTAGACCGTGCGACGGCTGACGCCCGGACCCGGCACGGACGACGCACGACCCGAACCCAGAACGGCGTAGCGTGCGTCATCCTTTACTTTTATTTTAGTCTTCTGTAAGGTTAAATTTATTTCTTAAGAAGGGCGCCATAAGTTGAATGGAATATCCAGTATGACATAACGTCTGTAAGAACTATTGATAACAAATACCTAGAAGTACCGCGTCTGATTTAACAGAGCTGGGTTTAAAACTTATCTGTCAAATACATTATTATTCCAATAAAAAAGAAATGTCAACATCATAAAATACCTCCGAATGAATAAATTAACGTCTCTTTTCTTTTGTCTGTACAGGTATTATAAACGGTATTAAATCAGGTTTTATCCAGGCATTAAAAATTATTCCTTTGATGTAGTTATTATCTCTTCGAAAACTAATGCTGCATATTTCATTACCTTTGTTGAAGCGTGTCAATGTTATAATGTTGTGATAATTAAGAGTTTGCTAGATAGAGGAAAAGCGAGGAAATGGCAGCGTGTCTGTATGGATTTCAAATTCCCAAAAAAATATGTACTCATTTCTTTATTCTTTTAAAGAAGCTTTTTATCTTTTTGATGATTGGGTCCTAGCTGCAGTACAGTTTGTCGATACAGTTTTCACAGAACAACAAATAAAATGTTGTAAGCACTAACTCTAGCGGGAGACCGATACATTTAGTTCAAAAGTACTTTGTCAGATGAAAATAGTTGCTTAATAAATAATATGGTATAAATCGCGACGTTTTTGCTTAAATTTTGCCAAATCTTAATTGGCTCTGCAATCTTATCTTAACCATATAAAATGAGAGAGTTAATTAAATTATGATATGTTTTGGGTTTGGGAAACCCTTCAATCTTATCTGAAAAAAACCCTTGCTCTACAATGTAATGTTCAGAAGCCTAACGATATTACCAGCTATATTTTCATAGATAAGCTTTTTTTTACAAGCTTTTATTATATAAACTAAATAAGGCAAATTTTTAGGGTTCCAAGAATAGGAGCACTAAGTTAAAGCCATGTAGTTATATAACAGTATGCTTATATAAGCAGTCTTGGTGAGACTGCTGCCGTTTTGTTTGACAAACTATAGCATATTTTCATTCTGGTACACGATTTCTAATCAGAAGAATTAATCCTATCACTTACCCTTAGAAATTCTTGAACATCATGCTGCATAAAAGAATCTAACGTCTCCCAACCAAAACTCTTTGTCAGCTTTTTTGTCGCAACAGGTTTGTCTAAGAATTGGAGGTCATAGAATACGCGCTGTAAAGCGAACGCAACAGACCGGGAGCTGTCGTCACCGACTGTGGGAATCTTGTATACGGCTTTCCGCAGAACGTTCGTGAAGAATAGCGTTTGGAGCAAAGAATTCATGTAGCAAGTAGCGCCTTGGTTCTTCAACCCTGCCAAGGTGATAAAACCATTTGTTTCCCGTGGTCCACCTCGTAGTCCACCCAGGTGGACCACGGGGATTATTTTTTTCCCGTGGTCTACCTGCATAGCCATATGTTTCTAACAGTAAATTATGGATGATGAGTTTTTCTAAAGCGATGCCTATAGAAATATCGTTGTTAATTAACTGCAACTGAATATCTTTTATATAAACATCGTTTTCAATTAATTTACGCTTTTTTGATTTTGCAATTCTTATTGTGCTCAAGACACTCAAGAGCCGTAATAAATTGAGGAAGAGTCAGGTGGACCACGGGTAAAAAATATTTCCCGTGGTTCAACCAGGTGAACTATGGGGGGGAAAAAATACCCGTGGTCCACCTGGTGAATCACGGGAAATAAATAATCCCCATGGTCCACCTGGGTGGACTACGGGTGGACCACGGGAAACAAAGGGATAAAACGAGACAAAATTGTAACAGCAGAACACAAAAATCCATTGAAAATACACACAAAAAGTATAAAATTAAAAATTAGTTTCAAGGACTTTTGATACTCTGCAATAGGACAAAAATTACTTGTAGAATTGTAGAGCACGAGAATATCAATTTTCCTATTGTTTTGCAAAACGTTCAACATAAATTTAATTTCATATCTAACGTTCAGTTTTAATAATCAACTTCCAGTAAAAGGTAAGGATAATTTGGTTCCGTTTCGAAGCAACAGTTGTTAATATAATCTAAATAATAAAAATATCTGGGCATCGAAACTCTAACAGGGCTATTTTTGGAGTTTGATTATTGAAACTGGCCGCTATTGTTTAATTTGTCTATTTCAATCAAGGGAATAAACACGAATCACACTCATCAAAAGAGTTTAGGCAACATGCATATCATTTACCCAAACTGCAAGTTTTATCTGTTGCTTTTTTTATATAATCGTTAGGAGATGTATGATTCATTCAAAGGTTTTTTTTTGCTTAAGTCACTAATAAATCATATAAGATATTATTAACAAAATAATTAAAGTATTAAGAATATTTAACATCAGTCAAAAGTTTAAAGAGTTCATGTTGTTTAGATAAGTTTTTTTTGGGTATCCGTTTGCTTTGTTATTAGTAAAACACTTGCTTTTGGACAACGAGTTGTTTTTCTCACTGTTTTGTGTTAATAACGTATAATTGTGTTTTTGTAAATTGTTGTTTAATGTTTTTGTAAAATTCTTTTAAGTTCATTATGTTTTTCTGGATGAATTCTATATATGATTTGATTGTTGTTTCTTTTTTAACGATGTTGTTTATTTCATAGGTTTTTTTTGTTTGTATTTTGGTAAAGTTGTAAATATTAATTTCTATATATATGCTATATTTGAGGCAGTTGTGTCATCACAGCGACATTTGTCTGTTTCTTTTATAGGGAAGTCAATCTACTTGCAATGTGTTTTTCTAGTACTTTGCCCATTACATCTACCAGCCCTATTGTTTTGGGAGTGATTTTACTTTTTACCTTCCAGGTGGTTAGGAAATGGCCTATTGTCATGCAGCGATTCATAAGTTCAGTGATTATGTCAGTATACTCCTCAATGAATTTTTGAATCCTGTCAGATGTCAAGTGTGTATATGTATTACTCTCACTTTTAGCACTTTTAAGTCATCGTTTCACTATATGGGTTTTTGTCTAATGCTTTTGTTTCTAGGTAGTGTTCCGTCGCAGGTTTTCCGGATTGTATTTATAGTGTTTCACAGAATTTATCAGTTTCTTGTTTATTTAATGTTGGTATGTTAGTTTTTTGTATTTTTGATGCAGTTATGTTTTCTTTAAGTTTTTCTGTCAAGAGTGTTCAGTCTGCTGATTTAGTGCTGTATTTGTAGGTTGTATTACTTTTTTTTTACTTTTTGTCTTTATATGTTTAGGTTAAAAGTAATCGTATTATGTTCTGCTAATTGGCATGCCTCTGTGTCAATTTTCTATCTAGTCTGATATGTAACTATATGCGTTATCCATTGCTATTGTCAGCTGATTTATTGATTCTCGAAAAATTCCGTGTGTAATGGTCTGGAATATTGGTTCGTTGTCTGTGTTAATTATGTTCAAGTTGTTTAATGTAATCAGATCGGATGTAAGGTGATCCCCATAGCTGGTGGTGGCCGTTGAAGTCACCGCCAATTATGTGATTGGAGTTAGTGGTGTTTTTAAGGAAGTATTCTAGTTTATATAGTTATACACTATCGTCAGTTTTTGGTTCGGCATATATGCTTATTACATAGTGTTTTTTGGTATTCGTTTTACTTTCTACTGCCCAAATTTTCTAAAATTTGGGCATACCAAGAGCAGTGCCAAAATCTTGCTTGACTAGTATGCATGCTTTGGTTCTGTTGTTTTTTCTGTTGAATTGAAATGATAGTTAATATATTTACGTATTCAGTGTTTCCCACGTATGGTTCGTTTATTAATGCTATTTGATATTCGATTTTCGTTACATATTGTATCATTTATTGATGTGCTTTGTTACATTTGTCAACGTTACATTGTATGAATTCTATTTGTTTGTTATAATTTGATTGTTTTTGTTGTTTTGAATGGTTCTGTTGTTAATCCATCTGATATTGTGCTGTCTCACCTACATATCCCGTATGCTTTTTGGAGTCCCACGAGATGCCGTGTGGAGCCTCGGCCACTACGTGTGCTTCTACTATGATCGCATCGTCTTTTACGAAACCATTGTTTGGGTCCATAAGGTCATCCCATGATATGAAGTGAGCGAAGCCCCAGTCGTCCTCTTTACTGAAAGAAACGAAATTCATAAACGATTGCATTTATTTATTAACCATCCATTATCAAAGAGAACATTCTAATGGTGACCTTAGTGGTGTTACTAAGACACACCTACTCAGTGCGATTTGATTTGGCATTATGTATCATATTTTTTTTGTTAGATTTGATCCCTAGCGGATCAATGTAGGAAATAGCTTTGTTTATATTGTTTTTGATTTAGATGCTATGGATTGTAAAATTGTGCTCGTATCACCATAATTAACAATTCCATAGACAGAATTGCTGTAGCTATTATTTCTTGGGTTCGAGTTTTGTTGAGTACCACTTCATATAGTCCAAACAGAAAAAATATTTAAAATTTTGCATTAGCATGATGAATCATGGGATGTGGTATTTTACTACGACAAGCTTTGTATTGCAGTAGTTACAAAATTAGAAATGATTATTTAAAATCTTATTTATTAGCTTGACTAATGAAACAGATTATTATTTCTTATTTTGTTATTTCATATTCTTTCTTATTGTTATTTTCTTCAAAATTACTCGTTATACCAAACAGTCGCCATTCAGCTAAAACGTTACCGGGATAGTTCATTGAGACTGGTGTTTAACCATTACGAAACTTACCAATGGTACATATGATGAAGTTTTCTGCACAAATGTGTTCCGTCTGGCTTGTGACATAGGAGTTTCAGCTCGCCCAGTCCGTAACAGGACCAGCCAGGTGTATCATAATCGCCGTTGCACTGTAAGAATATCCCCAACGCTTTTTGCTGTTGCCTTTCCGGCGTCGATGTATTCCTGATGAGTATCAGGATTTTCCAAGGCAGGCATCGCACGTAGCAGGGAGGCGACAACACTTGCTCCTTGAGTTGACTTATGTTTTGTACTGTGTAGCGGAACGTTGCTTCCGAGCGGGCGACGTCATTCTCTTCTTTTGTAATTTCCTGAAACAGTGTGGTCTAGACGACTGTAAGCTTGGGTCTAATCTGGCAACCGTAGCTGATCGGGGGGAGCTTTTATGTGTTCAGCAAAGGTTGCCATTATTCATCATACAAAGGTATCGGGCGACCAGAGGCCCCGTTCTGTCTGCGCAACCTTACGCATATATTTGGCCGACACTAACTAAATTTCAATTGTAAAGAGGTGAGATTATTATAATTAATAAGTACACGATTCATTGAAAATAAACGTAGGGCGCAGGGTTTTCCTGATTTGCCCTCCGTTGTTAAACGCAATAATCAGTGATTATTAAATTTCTAAAATGATTGCAACGTTGCTTTTTTTAGTTGCTGCAGATCGTAATTCACATAGCTGTGTATAGATTCATCCTGAAGGCCTTCTGCTGCCGACATCTACAATAGCATATATTAGAAAGAATTAAGTAAAGCAAAAGTAATTTTGATGAATTTTGGTTTGGAGATAAATCGGAGGTAATACTGTACTTCAAGTTTACGCTGATGGCTACGTCATTTAGCGATGTTGTCGCAGTTTTGGACTAAACCAAGTTTCAAATTCTGTCGCATTAGGAACAAGTAGTATATTATTTATTAGTAAATAGTCTAATATAATTTCATACCATTTTGTAATTTCTTTTTATCTAACTTTGTAAAAAAAACAGTGTTGAGTTTCATTTTTATTGCTGTTAATAAAGTTTATATGTACTTATGTTTAAAAAAAACTGGCTAGGCAGTGTTTTGAAGATTTTGGGTTTCCTGGGACAAGTTTAATTAAGGATGTTAGCAAAAGGAATACCCAGAACTTTTGTATTGGCAAAAGCAAGAGTTTATTTTAATATAAATATAATACATACGAAAAGTAACTAACCGTGTTTGTAGCTGGTGCAGTAACTGTGGCATTTTCCGCGTTGCTAGCTTCTAACATTTTTCAGTAGCAACGTATAAAACTATGGAGAATATTTATCCAATCAGAAGTTATTCATCATCCATGATCAGCTATTGATATATCATAATATTTTATTTATAACCAACGGCATGACAACAATAGCAACTTATCTACTAACAAAATTTACAAAATCTTCATAAAAACAATGCGAGTTTACAGAAACTTAAGTAAACTTTAGAAAGATTTATATAACTTTACCTTATTTCAAAATATAATACATAGTGGTATGTAGATATCAAAGTAAAAAATTGTGATTTTATGTTTTTTAGCCGATGACAGGCGTCAGGTTTTGATTTTTAGGTGTCATTTTGATTGTTCCAAATTTGAAAGACGGTAGATAACTTTTTTCTGAATGCTAACGAAAAAGTTTTTATTTCTACCGTACCGCGCTTATCGTTTCTTTTTAGTTTAATAAGGCAAGAGGTTGTACAAAAACACAGCCAAACTTGAATAATCTCAGTGATTGAATATGAAAATAATTTTGTGTCTTTTGCTTTATTTCCATATTTTTGGATTGTTTGATATTTTTAAATGATGGTTCTAACAATAGTAGCTTCTGTTTAATTTTTGCGGTTCATTTCTATGAGCCGTCAGTGACTGCTGATATAATTGAGACCGCTGGGAGGGAAGCGAAGTTAATTGAATCCCTCAGCCATCTCGCAGCTACATTATTCCATCTTCGTCTGGGAGATGACAGCTTTCACAAAATATTGGCGAAATTTTTTGATCCAAGTAACTGTCAAGTATAGTTTTTATTAAATTTAGATGTTATATAAAGTATATTATGATCCAGTTTTTAATATGAACTGATATAATTTTATATCTAAAAAGTTTTATGATAATCGAAGGTCCAGGCGTCCCTATTTGTTGCAGGAAGAGTTTTTAACCGACTTTAAACAAAAAAAAAGAAGCAGTTCCTATATTCATCGTGTGTGTTTTACATCACTACCAAAAAAAGGAGTGTAATGTTTCCAGAGTTCGTTGTTTCACCATAACTTTGAAATGCCTGAAAAAATTTGGTTAAGTATACCTTGTATTATTCGTTTTAAAAAATATCAACCAAGTAGCTTGATAGTAATAATCTTACCTAGTATCTATAATTTGTAATGCCCCTAACCTTAGGAATTTAACGAGAACTTATTATACCTACTGTATTTTATATTACAAAACTGATAGAAAATTTTCAAACAGAAAAGCGAATTTACTAAACTTTGCCTGTTTTCGAAGTGTAAGCAAATGAACCAAGGCGACTTTCAAACTTTTTGAATTGAGAGCCTGTCGCAAGATATCATGCTCTTGACAAAATAACGGCCGACGCGGCGTAGATAGATGTTGACAAAGGACTTTTTTTGCAAGTTATGGTGAAATTATTTTAATATTAGATTACGTTTTTGCGTTCAATGTTTTAGTATAAACCGCGTATTCATAAAACAGAATTTGTTTATAAATTGTTTATGAAGTTGATCACCTTGAAAACAAATTTACCGTAAATACTGTTTCTGAACAAATTTACCGTAAACACCGTTTCTGAAACTTGACCGTCCACACTTGTCAGTTGTTGCGAAGATGTCACCTAAGCATCTTTGTGCTGCTTACGTAGTACTTCATGAGAGTAAGAGTAAGTTACCGATAAATCTCTATGAGCTTCGAAACTTGGTCATTCGACCATGTCCGGCCACACTATTTCCGTGTTATATAAACTATAAATATCCCGCAACAGAAAGTCAACATTTGTTCATAAACTGAATGTTTCGAGGAGCTCGATGGCGCAAGTGGTTAGCGCGTTCAGCTGCGATCGTTGAAGTTAAGCAACTTTCGCAGTGGTCGGTCATTGGATGGGTGACCAAAAATTTACTATCTCGAGCTCCTCCGTGCTTCAGAAGGCACGTTAAGCCGTTGGTCTCGGCTGCATCTGCAGTCGTAAACACCCACCAATCCGCACTGGGCCCGCGTGGTGGGTCATGGCGCAATCTCCCTATTCCATTCATAAGGAAGGCCTGTGCCTCAGCAGTGGGGACATTAATAGGCTGATGATGATGATGATAAATGTTTCATCTTGCTCTCCACACAGAGTAGAGAACACGGCAACATGTATCTGAAAAAATATTTCCTAACCTTAGTAAATAAACTGTTTCTAAACTGTATACAGTTATGATGCAACGTTGTAAAACACTGTTTATAAACAAATGTTGCCTAATTAATAAGCGGCTACGGATCTGTAGGTTCAGACCGGCTGTTCATAATGAACTCTCATCTCGCATGGAGTAGGTATCCATCCATTATTATCCATTACTTCGATATCTTCCCTGAAGTCGGGGTAAAGTGAATGATATTCTATTTAGTTCGTCAGTTACATGAATAAAAAAATAATCGGCACTTATTTTTCTTTTGTCAATGAACTAAAAATTACAAAGATAAAGCGCGTCAAAGTTTAGGAGCGGGGACTCGTGACGTCACTTCTAAGTAAAGATTGTACAAAGTCGTAACATGTGACGTTTCAAATCGATATTTCGTATATAACTATCATGGTTTGATTGTGCGAAATTCTGACAATCTACCTGATAGACGATGAAAATAAAATTTGTATCATTCATATATAAATGTGAAAATGTCTCTGTCTGTCTGTTACCTCTCCACGCTTAAACCGCAGAAACGATGTAGATGAAATTTGGTACAGAGATAGTTTGAGTCCCGTGAAGGGATATATGATACCTAGTTAATATCGCGGACACCCACAATTAGTTCCATTTATCTTATTCATTGTGCCAAATGGGCTGGCAGAGCTTCTATCGTTGCAGCAATGGATTGTACTCTCGATTGCATCGATAGCAAAAATCCGATATCTTGATTCAAATTCAAATTGATTATAAATTACTTACACATTTTTGCCCGAAGTCATTGCTGCTACCTGCTATAATAAAACCAAACCGAAATTTCTAAAAACCTACGAAAACGAAGTAAAATTTTCAAAAAACACGGTTTCAGTTATTTGACCTCTTTTCATGTTGTATGGTGTCTAATAGGTACTACTTTAGTAATGACGCGTTATCCAAAAAGCACATAGAATTTTAGCCATCTGAACCAAAGCCAAATTAAAATTAACCTCGATTTGGCGAGGTGCGCACTGATTATTACCAGCCCAGATGACGCTTCTGGAATTTTATGCCTTGCTGAATGTAACAAACACGTACCTACTCTGCATTCCGTTAGAACAAATTTAGTACAAAATTATATTTTTATATAAATCTCAAACCATAATAGATAGAAGGAGCGTCTTATTCAGTACAAGCTGACGCCGCGAACTTCATAGCGCTTACAATAATTTGGAAGAAATGAAAGCTATTTGCTAATATATAAAGTTATTTGTTCGAGAGGAACACAGCTTTTAACATAGTTAGCAATTGTTTGGAGGAATCTTCTATAGATTGATCGTTCAGTAATGTAACTCTCACATTTACTGCCAGCTGGAAATTCATAAGGGAGTTGACGGAGCCTAATTCATTGTGCTCACTAAATCGTCGAAGGTTACTTTATCATATTTAAAAGGGGTTAAGATTGGTTTCCATATCTTTGCCCAATATTCTCCAAATACAGTCAATGCCTTAGTCGACCCTTGCGACTTACTGGGAAATTAAGAGTTGTTTTATTTATTGGAAACCAAAGAAAATCCAGTAATTAAAAATTAATTTCAATTAGTCATGCTGAAATAAAAATTATGATATTGATACTTATCATATTCTTTATGTCTCCTTGCCAAAACATGAGCATAATTTTGACGACCTCTGTGGCCGAGTGGTTTGTACGCCGGGTTTCATGGCTGTCGCCGACTCGAGAGGTCCCGGGTTCGATTCCCGGTGGGGGCAGATGTTTGTGTGATGAATACGTGCATTTGTACTCCAGTCATGGATGTTTAATATGTTTTCATATAAATATACTTATATATGTACAGTATATGTATTCTATCCGTTACCCTAGCATCCCATAACACAAGCCTTATAGTGCTTACTTTGGGGCTAGGCTAATTGGTGTGAGTGTCGGAAATATTTATAAAAAAAAAAAAAAAAAAAAATTCTGTCGGTTTAGATTTGTGTATGCTATTTTCCTGCAATTTTCCTCACTGTTTTGGAGTGAATGCTAAACAAATAAGCTCAACTTACTCATCCGTGTGGTAACGTCAGTTGTCAACTGCGGAAGATGGCGGGATAACAAAGTTTATTTTAAAAATATATCTTGCATTATTTCCGTGTCTTCTTGAAAATTTTCTTTGATTTTATATCAAAGTAAATGACTTGGCAATTGCGTAGACAATAAAAAAATAATTATCGAATTTGGTTCAGTCGTTCGGAAATGAATGCGAATACATACTTTTCGGCGATTTATTAATAGGCGAAATACAAGAGTGGGCTTTGCTAAAGATTTTGTAAAGACGATTTATGGTAAGATAGCAATAGAGAGTGGTTTGTGAAACTTTCGACAATAATTATAAACGCTGTAGCAGTTCGACTTCGACAACAGGCAGGGCTGATCGCTATCTCCTCTTAGCTAAGGTATTGTTAATTCCTTTGGTGTGTAGGTAAACAGCATTTTAACTACATAGCAGTAAGAGTTATTTTCCTAATGCAAGTTTATGAATAGTCAGATTTAGACTGTATCTTTTGTACAAGGTTCAATGTTAATTACGACGTCGTATTACATAAGTAATGTGGAGACATTTGGAGGTGCAGCGGTAAGCGTGTTCGATTTACGGTTGAGGAGTTCGAGCAACGTTCACAAAGGTCGAACATAGGATGGGTAAGCAATATTATAAATAAGTATAATAAGTGTTTTAAGTAAGGTCGGTCTGGCTATTGGTAGCCACACACCATCATGCCGCTTGGTTAAGTGGCTTGTGGTGGCCACTCGCGATCTTAAAAGCATCTGCACTATTGTATAACAAATAACCACTCTTCAGTTATCTTGTACGACAAATCAAATGAAATTTGCATCAAGTACATATCAACTCACCGTCCTGCCGCTTGATCAAGTGGTATGATCAAGTAGACTTGATCGAACCAAACTGACCGAGTGTGGCCCCCACACTTTGGAAGGACAACCCACTAGACGGACGGATTTTGGCTTGATCAAGCCTATTTCATCAAGCCACTTGATCAAGCGGCAGGACGGTGAGTGGCCACGTTAAACTATTTAGCAATAAGATCATCTTACTGACTGGCCTTTCTACCACATGACTAGTTACCTACATTGATATGTACTTGATGTATATTTCAAACTCATTTTTGTTGATTTGTCTTACAAGATAACTAAAGAATAGTTATTGGTTATACAAGAGTACAAAGTTGCTTTTCAACCGCGTGCTCAATTATAAATGACCACGAAAACAAAAGACCACAATGTGAAAAATCTTTGCACTCGAGTGCAACACGTAACTTTTCATCCCGATTCAGCTAGGAAAATACTAAATGCAAAAAAAAACATTTACAATCACAATATACTTTTATTTAAATTTTGGTATTAACTACTACATTATGACAGGTAAGTATTACAGAATAATCTTTAAATTATAACAAAGAATACCTACTTAGGTAGGTATAATTAAAAAAAATTTAAAGTGACATTGCTACAATTACTTAAATTGAGTGTAATATTTTTGTTAAGTACTGTAATGTTGTTGTTAGTGACTTGTACTGTAGTGTACTGTTTTTTAGTAAACTATCTGTCTTACTTAATATTTGTACCGATTCATCGGATTCCTATTAATAAAGTACGTATTAGATTTAATGTTAAGTAGTTGATTAATACTTAAGTAGATACTGAATGTGCAACTGATTTACTTTTGCCGCGAAATATACGGAATCAGGTACTTCGTTACAAACTTTTCAATTAAAGAGTGAAAACCTTCTTTTTTTTGTTTGATGACCAGATGAGGCTCTTTTCGATAATGCCACTAAATTAGGATAGGTGTCGATATTTACCTATGTCTTTTTGCATCTTTATTGTTATAGCATTAAAAACGTACTTCATAGAGTGCTTAATAGCTTGCCTTCGGATAATTCAATAAAATATCCCAGCAAAACCACAAGCAAAGTCACCACGTGTTAAACATAATTATCGTACTGTTTTAAATACTTCACGCGTGATTGTTGAGGGAGTAAGCTTATTTGCGCAATATTAACAATTTCAGTTAATTTGGTTGGCGTCAAAAAACTTCTTCGTCGCTAGAATCACTAATTTAAGGGTTTTTACTTGTTTTCAATTTTCTTGTTTTTAACCTAAGGTTTTAACAATATGTCGTGAAATGATTATGGTGCGCGAAAAGCAAATAAAAAAGGTACACCAAGAATATTCCGAGCGAGTTTATACAAATTAAAAAATATTGTGTGATAGATTCGGCACCATGGAGGTAGACGTAAATAGGTTTAATGATGTTTTGGATTCACAAACTTAGTGCACACGATGTCCTAAATTCAATTTACTTTATCCTCTAGAGGATAAAAACGGCTATTGCACTCAGAAATCGTATTTCCGAGATGGCTCCGGAAGAAAAGATCATTTATATGAGTGTTATCTATACTAATATTATAAAGAGGAAAGGTTTGTATGTATGTTTGTAAAAAAAAGTACTGGACAGATTTTAAAAATTCTTTTACCATTTGAATGCTACATTATCACTGATTAATATGGGCTATAGTGTATTTTCAAAAAGTTACGGTTCCGTAGGAAAACTTCGATAATGTAATCCAACGTGTGTAAAAAATCCCAAAAAATAGCCTTATATCGCGTACGCTGCGGAAGTCATTGACAATAGAGCAAAGTGACGTACTAAAGTTTTATAGAAGATACCAATATCTACAAAAAAGTCCGCGATACCAAATGTCTAACTACTACAGTTATGTCACAACTAGAGGTCCCCTGCGGTTTCACCCGCGTTAATTTGAAGAAAAAGGTTTATAGTGAGTCAAATTTAAAATATAAACATAGGTTGTCGTGGGCATTTTTTATAGAACTTTTTTGTGCAACTTTAACCGTTTAGCAAGCGCACGCAACGGAATGTCACAAATAGAATATTCTTACCAGTTTTTGCAACATTTTTCATCGATGCTCCGCTGCTACTGGTCAATAGTCTGGTAATAGGCCTATAGCCTTCCTCGATAAATGCACTGTCCAATACAAGAAGAATTTTTCAATTCGGAACAACAGAGCAATGTTGCATTCGGTACAACGGGTCCTAAACTACGCAACGATTTTTTTACTTGGAATGGAAGGTTTATAATTATTATGAAGAAGGTCATTGTGTATAATACAAGCCTTCGAACAAAAACAATAATCTACACTACAGTTCTACACCGAAGCAAAGCGAGGGCGGGCCACTAGTGTATTTATAACACCAACTTAAGAAATTACGAGTTTATTTTATTGAACTAATATTGAATGGGTTTCAAATATAAAAATTTTCATTAAAACTAATAAATGGAAGTAGTTTTGTGTACAAAGTTTCCTTTGACACTCTATGTCATTTTGTAAAGGATATTGTACAGATACATTTTTGTATGTATAGAGAGAGCTTTGAATGTAATTCATTAATGTAAATACGTAATTCTAACCACGACCTTAAAAATAATCGCTTCGTTCGTTCGAGCTTTTGCTGAGCTTTGTGAATTTTGGAGTCCTGTTGGCACACAGTCGTCATAAATTAAAAAGTTTTGTATATTGAAAATAACTGGTATTTTAGATATTCTAATCCGGGGGTTTCCTTTGGGACAGATATTTCATACTGGCATAATGTACACGCCATAAAAATGATTATTCAGTTTTAAGTTTTAATGTTTGACACAAAATAGGCGAGTTGAAAGTCAACACTGTTTAAGTGTTTTTTCAACTCGCCTCTTCTGCGCCGAGAGTTAAAACTACCTGACTAGATATTTGACATGTGTATCTGCCTGGCTGTTAGGTACATAGATGCCAAACCAAAGATGCAGATTTTTTAAGCAATTCTACTGCTAGATGTTTAAATCTAAAGAAAAGTGTACTGGAAAAAAAATCATTTTGGGTTACCCACAATGTGAAGAGATGGAGGAGCCTTGCAGCCTAAGGGTAGAGAAAATTCGACACGGGTGTCAGGGTCGCGGTAGCAAAATGGTCAGTGCATTCGCTCGGATAGCGAAGGGTGCGGGTTCAAGTCAGTGCAGTAAGCTTTTCTTTAGATTCAAATGCAGGTAAATTCTTCAAAATTTCATGGTCACTAACACGAGAGTAGCAGAATAGCTATATTTAGCTTGTTGTATGGTAATTTATCATAGACCCTAATAATTGAAAAAATAATTTGTAACGATTTTGTAAACAAATTGTATCTATCAAATAAAAAAAATATTAAAGATATTTCAATTACCAATCATGCTAAAGTAACATAGTCGCTAGACCAAGTTTATGTTGGGACAATCTTTTATTTCACCGTTTCACCCGTGGTTCCTGTATTATGTCGCACAAAATTAATAATATGACGAATGTAGAGTAATGGCAGCTAAACACAATAATGGGCCATGATAAACGCTGGTAGCCGGGCCTCGGGCACGGAAAATTGCCCCGACATCTCGAAGCTTCGATTGACGTGTACAGTTCACCCAAGCCCGGCGAAAAAAAATCTCATCCCATCGGATTCCAATCAGGCCCGCTCATTTATTGCAATTGGCTGATGGAACAAGATTTTTATAGAAATGCGAAGTCATTTGTCGCTCGCTACCACTGACCGCGGCTTTCGGTCGTACCTAATGTTTGGTTATTAGAGATACATGATACGCCCTGGGTTTTGTTAATGTCTATCATTCTAATGGTTAAACGCCGTATTTTCGTTTTGACAGATTATTACTATTTCCTATTAGTTGAAAAAGAGGAAATTGGTTATAAGGCACCTGTTTTTTGGTGCGCGTCCAAAATAAGTCCTGAAGGTTACTTATAGTTATTATGACTTTTGTTATATTAGGTTGGGGAAAAACCAGTTATCAGCTTCTTCAAAATGGTTCGGTTTCACTACGTCGTAATAAAGAATCACAAAGTACACGGTTCATTAGGTTTCTTTCAGTAAGCTCGTGAGTACCCAAATATCGAGCTTTTAAGTGCACCCAACTTTTTTCAAATGCGCCAAAACTGTTTTGTTCCCAATTCCCAATTCTTCAAATACGTCGTAACTACAGACATGCCGATCTTGCTCCGCTTTTTCGAAAATAGCATCAGCATCAATTTGGACTCACGTCGCAGGGCGACCAGAGCGACATGCATCTTTGACATCAAAATTTCCGGTTTGTAAGTTCTTAAACCAAAGTGCTACTCTTACAGACTACACTGCACTATGTCCATAAATATCACAATTTCTTTTCGCGGCTTGCGTAGCACTTTTACCTTTTTTCTAATTTGAATTATAAGATAATTCCATCTTCATTAAAAATGTTAACTTTTTAATGATACCAAAACCAGCCAGATACGAATGGTATTTTATTACCAAAGAGATTATATTACAAGTTCATACATACTATGATGCAAAAAGACGCCCACATTCGTTTTTTCTTAATGTTCTTTGCCTTCGACACGTTTATAGATTGTCAATGTAATGTAAATTGTATTGTTTTGATATGCCAAAACATTGATTTTAGCTACTATCGGTAGTTTCCATTGTGTGATGTAAACTCGTCTCTATAAGGTGGCAGCTTTGGGCTAATAAGCTTCGGATGGATCGCTAATTGGCTTCCGTTATACCAGGCTGGGACTCAGGGACTTTATAAATCCAAAATTGTGAATGT